TTATTTTGGAGCTTTAAAAAATTGTTGTCGGATATCGATCTAATGCAGCTTTTTTTTCCAAGCAACTCTACTGTTTCCGAGTCATCTTACCGTACATTAAACGTATTTGGTGTTCCTTTAAATTGATTACTTTTATGGAGAAAGGGTCTACCTTATTCTTCTTCTTTCTTTGTCTTATAAAGTTTAAGCAGTGCGTAATTCATGGAGATGGAGTAGCCCTGCCCAACTTATAAATGATCAAAGATCGTATTAAGTATTTTTTTATCGAACAGTTCCAGCGCTGCTTTTCCATTTTACAAAGTCACATAGAAGCATCATACAAAGGTATTATGAGTGACATGTATAGTTTATATTTTATCGATTGGGTTAGAGCTCTATTAGTTCAGCATAGCATGCGCTATGGTAATGTTAATTCTTTTACTTTCTTATCCTTTTTTTACCCTTAGGATGAATACAGTGATAATATTGGTGAAAATTAAATTTGATTTGTAAATATAATTTTAAAAATTGTAAACTATTTAAATAATTGACCAGTTAGACAATTTCAGAAATAAAAATAATATTTTCCGAAGCGTAAAAAATGTCAAAGTTCTTTTGTGAAAGCTTTACGAATTTTCTAATGAAAAAAAAAAATTAATTAAAATCATGTGACAAATTATTATAAATAATTATGTATTATTAAATATTCTATACCATTAAATTATCACAATCTTCACTACGGAGAATGGTAAACCACTAACTATTCACCAATAATAACTGGCCATCTAATAACAAAAATGGAAGGAAATCATGACCGAGGATTTTTGCATAGACTTATTCTAACCCACCGTACTGTTAGAAGTGACTTTTTTGGACTTTTTTTTTATTATAAAAAATGTCTTTTAGTTTTTTATATATAACAGAAACTCTGTAAGTTCATCGAATTAATTAAAAAGCTATAAAAAAATATTTATTGTAATTTTAGACATATTTTGAAAAAAACATTTTAAAAAATTTTACAATAAAAATGGTTTTATGATTTAATCTTAAATCTCTCCAATATACAATATTAATTTATATTAATGCAATATTGTATTATCCTTAAATATTAGAACAAAAAACCAAACTGCAATAATTTATCATTGTCACTTAAACTCATATATTTTCATGGTAATTTGTCCACATCTGATAAAGAAAATTCGCAACTTTATTGCGGATAAAATAAATTTACAGGAAGTGTTTAACTTTTTATGTAGTTAAAAACTATAATAACTTTTTATAACCGAACAAAAAAGTTATGAATTTTATACATCTAACATCAACATCTAACATCAAAAAATTGCCGCGACTCCGCCGGTAAGTCTGTTGTTCTGCAGCGGCGGCTGTGTGAGGCACTTCAAGCGTGCATGTTGCCACATTTAAATTGCGGATTAGTTATGACGCTGTTAGGGATTAAGACCATTGAGGAAATCTGTTGCTGTTGTTGTTTTAACGGCTGCTGCTATCCGCAACGCTTATATTACGGGTTCTATGACAATTGCCAACTGCCCTATTTTGTAGGCTGTGATTTTGGAACTGTGCTTAGTACATTGACATTTGCCGAATGCCTTACATTCTTTCCATTCTATCCATTCTTTTCGATGAAAACAATAATAGTTGCATTTATCATTTCAAGGGAAATACAATAAAAATAACAAATTGTTTTTTTTGGTACATGAATTGCAAATATTATTTCAATGCATAATTTCATAATATTTCAAGGAATTACAATATAACGTATTTCCATAAAAGCTTTCAGAACATAAGTTATATCATAAAAAAGACAAATCTAAAGTCTATAAAAGTTATGAAAGATAATTAATTTCATTGAAATCTGTTTATGACAATACATAACAATTACATAAATTAATATTAAATAATTTTAATATTCATTGATTGCAAACAGTTTCATAATTATTAATAATCAAAAAAATTTTTCCAATAAAATCTATGAAATTTTTCTGCTACACTCCGGAGATCAAGGAACAATGGAAACAGTAAAGGAGCTTCAGAAGGAAGAGCTCCAAAGAATACAAAAATTTTACTTGAAATGGAGAAGGCGACTATTGGAGTCGCCTACCGTAGGGATCTTTTAAACAGTGAAAGACCTTCAAATGATGAAAAAGCTCCAAAAAATACGAAAACTGCTCTTTAAGTTGGGAAGATTACTCTTGCTGTAGAATCGACTGATTACAGCTGCAACTTTAGGGAAGTCACATATTAAATACTATATTCTATGAATGAAATCAATAAAAGAAGTTCAATAGTTGTCATAACTAAAATACACGAATTCCGTTTCGAATTTATTCATTATTCGAGTTATTTATTAGATATGTGGACTATTTTCTATTTCTAAAGTTTAGAGTTTGTATACGATAAGAAATTGGAGCATTGTTTCTAAAAAGTTGAAAGAATATAATGTCGAAAAATAAAAAAAAAAATTAAAAAAATGTATACTTAGTGTTAAGTTAGGGATGCCTTAGGAGGAACACGTTTAAAAACTCCTTCAGGTGCGGCAAAGATGAAAGAGCACTCACCAAACTTTTTGAAATTTCGCAAATCTTCAAATTTTAAGCCTTGAGTAATGTCAGTACTGTGTTTGTCAGTTTCTAAAAATAATTTGCTAAAGTTAGAATTTACTAAACGTGATACATATATGTTGACATCCAGTAGTAATATGCTACTTTCGATAATGAGCTATTTAGTAATGGCTATGATTTTGAAAATGCGAAATTGAGTAATGTTGGAGCCGTCACCAATAGAACTAACTATGTCAACCTGGCGATACGAAAAAGTAGTATCATTTTCCCTATGGTTTCAATATTGGGAGGCTGCAGTGGTTTCTAAAATAAGTATAATCTATATATAAAACAAAGGTTACTTATTCTACTTATTCTTTAATCTGTCACAGTAAACCTATTTGATCTACGAGACTTGAAAAGGTATTGAAGAGCGGATCACATTTTAAAACTAATATCGAATCAAAATTGTAAGGATTTAGCAGAGTAGTGAATTACAACAGCATACTCTTTTAATTTTTTTAATTATAAGAAATTAATAAATACTTTCATTTTTAAAAAAATTATTTACCAATAATTAAATAATTTGGGTTAGCTTATGCTATACCGGCGGTGCCAAAAGCTCTACTTAGGTCTATAGGCCCATTGTGTTACCGTATAATCACTTAGAACCTTTGACAAATAAATATATTAAGTATATTAAATTAAATATAAATAAAAAATATTTCCTAAAAGACCACTGATTATTGGTACTACTCGAAGGGACTAAAAATTAAATCAAATAAGAAATTGATTAAATTTTGTTGATGTAATTCACTATTGTTCTAAAAACATTTCTTACAAAAAAATAGTTTGATCAAATGATCAAATTTAATAAAATTAAAACTAATTTTTAATAAAAAATTTTTTATAAAACATATTTTTTAATCTGATTTTAAACCTAATGTCTAAATTAGTTATTCTTAAAGAATTCTGTAAAATGATTTAGATACAAATACAAAAACTTTAGTAAAATAAAAAAAATATAAAATAAATTAAATAAAAATAGTTTTATTTCTATTACTTTATTTTATATATAATTTTTTTTATCACCTTTAATGACTTCATCTTGCTATCAAATACCTCAAATAGAAATACATCCTGCAGTAATTTTGTAAAAATAAATACGTTTGATTTTATCAATGAATTTTAATTTGGTGTCTATTTGTCAAAAATTTTCAAAATTCTTTCCCATGTCAAAATTAAAGGTAACCTTCCTTCCTTCCTTCCTTCCTTCCTTCCTACCATTGTAGATAGCATTAAGGCTACAAAGTCAAAGCATATATATAAAGTAAACATGTACAATTTAAATAAATAAAAAATGATATAAGGCAATTATGAGTAAAAGGATATAACAATTTATATTCACAAGTCTTACATATATGTATATATGGAGAGATATAGTGTAGTGCAACATAACAACAAAATAGTGTTACTAAGTTAATCTCCTGCGGTTAATGACCACCTGTTGACTCGTGTGTAAGAACAACAAAGAAATTTTGCAGACAACAAGACGCCCATGTTCAAAACGAAAAAATTAAAAGAAAATAGTAAATAAAAATTATGAATGAATTTTATATATAAAAGATACACAAGAAGATATCACTAGCCAAATTGTTGTTGTTTTATTTAGTAGGAAAAAGTGGTGGATTTGCAGTCACTATTCACCATTGTATTGGAAGTCAATAAGGTTGCCATTGTCTTAAGATTGCGTATGTAGCAATGTACCTATGAACAGATACATGAAGAGATATGAGAAAATCGATATTATTTTCCTTTTATCCTGAAAAAGGTAAAATTATGGAGTAAAGTATCACAGATTTTTTAAATTTTGACCAATCGTAAATAACTTAAACAGGTACACTTGTTGCTGTATGTATTTTGGAATTTCGCACTTTCCTGAAAATGGTATAGATATTTATATAACCAGTATAGATGCTGGCTAACTTAACAGTTGTGAACAGGTGATGATCGTGTAAAGATCGTGTAAAGATCGTGTTGCTCTTTTTAAAAGAAAATTTATTTAATTAAATTAATAATATCCAGTGCATTCAAAAATGAAGTTTCAAAGAAAAGTGTTAAGAGATTGTAATCAAAACAGTTTTTTAGGTGTGTTCACTTTAAAAGTAATAAGATTTATTTAGTAATATATAAAGCAATAGCAAGTAATGAAACGTTATTATTATTATTAAAAGAGGGCACTGAAGAAGTGCACTGCGACCTAAAAGATCTATTGTGTCCCTTATCGGATTAGAGTGTTTCTTCAAGTCCGATTTTTTTAATGAAAGACAGTATATAACCCATCTTTCCTAGTCCTGAATCCTTATGATTCTTCTGCTTGTGCATCAGTGCCTGGCATATAAACATATAAACTTAAAAATCTAAAATATATTAATGTGTTGCTTTCGTATTATTTACAGGTTTAGCTAAAACTTGTGCCATGAAGGAAAAAAGTAAAAATGCTGCTCGCACCAGACGTGAAAAAGAGAACACAGAATTCTTCGAACTGGCAAAATTACTACCATTACCAAGTGCAATTACATCTCAATTAGACAAAGCTTCGATCATAAGATTGACGACGTCTTATTTGAAAATGCGACAAGTCTTTCCAAATGGTAAGTTTAGCCTTAAGTTTATCGTAAATTATTTGCTCATATATACACAATATTAGTAATCCCTCAAAGCAATGGGTGGTTGCGTAAACGAAAACTTAGACTAATAGATTAAACAACATTATATATGAAGTGTTTGTTTCTACTTGAAAGTGATTTTTTGCCCTCATATTTCTTGAGTAGTTTCCTCCTTTTTTTAAATATTTTTTCATATAATTTATATGGTATTTTTGTTGTAATTGTATTTAAAACAATTACGTTAGACTCTTGTGCAAATTGAGCGTACGTTAGCTTTTCATCTTGTCCTTGTCGCTTTTTTATATAAAACATTGCACTCATAACACAGCGCTGTGCTCTGTGTACATTGCACAACACAGTTGACAGCGACACACGCCTGGGACATGGACCATAGGTGGCATATGAAGTCAAGCAATTGACGATACATGAACTTTATTTGCTTGTAATTTGTACAAATAACTTGAGGCTATGCCAAATGAAGTGTAATGGTATTGCGTGCCTCCTGAATAAGGATTTTGTTTTTATTTTACCTTGGAATTGTGTTAAAAAACAGCAGGACATCAACATAATTAAAATGAAGTATTTGAAGTACTTCTGCGAAAACTAAAAAACGCCAATGTAAGAAATTTAGAAATATTTATAAAATTTTGAATTTATAGAAAACATATTTTATATTATTAGTAGATAGATATGTATAATCTAATATGGGTTTAACAATATACTGTGACCCTAAAGTACTATTGTATTGCCAATTATTGTTATTCGTCAAAATAACAGGTTTGACGTTAGAAACCTTATATGATAATTCTTAATTACCATTGAAAGTTTTTTATTATTATCTTTATTTCTAAATCGGACTTCATATGACTATAAACCATAGTCTAAATATTTTTGAAAATAAAATATAGTTTTTGAATATATTAAATTCGCTTTTAACGTCAATATAACAGACCACTTTTACTTTAATAGAAACTTTAGTATTTTATAGAGAGAGAGGTTTCGAAAATATATTTTTAAATAGAGTAAAAGTTTTTAAATAAAGAGTTGTGTATTATTTAAAACATTAAACAATTAACCTGTTTTTAAAATAAAAGTAATAAATAAAGTTTTTAATTAGACCTAAGTTTTTTTCATACCAAAAGAAACTAAAAGAGTATAAGTATATTATATATAATATTAATATATAATATTATATGTTATATATAATATACTTATGCTCTTTTACTTTCTTATTATACATAATATATAATATATATAATTAATATATATAATATATAATATTAAATATAATTGTTAGATATAACATAGTTTATAATTTCATGTAGTTCCAGAATTCTTACAACGTTATTAATATATAAAATTTAACAATAAAAAAATAAAATAACACTGAGAATGAAGTGTAATACTGTAAGATCTCAGTAATAAATTATAATTAATTAATAATTAATATTAATAATAGTACAATAATCATTATTATTATCTTAATTCGGCTTTTATGGTATTTAAGACTTTATTTTTTTCATTTAAACGCTTAATAATTTATTGCTTTAATGACCAAAATTTTTTTAATAATAATTTTGTTTTTAAACGGCCTATTGGTCAATAGTTATATAATAAACTACTAAAAAAAATTTTTATTTGGTTTTAAAAAAAAAACAAAACATAAAAAAAATAAAATATTTTATGTATTTATAATATATGTACATACATATATACAATACAATACATCTATTGTATAATTATGCCTTTATGATTTATATTAAATTATTGTTATATTATAAGAACATTATAGTACCATGAAGATGACTAGAATATAGTCGAAATATTGGTTCCAATAAAATTTTTTAAAGAATAAAAAAAAAATATTTCTTATAATTAAACGAGTTAAACAAAATTATTATTAAAATTCTTAATTTAAATGATTTGATTTAGTATAAACTAGTACTATCTAATACACTAACATAAGAAATTTAAATTAAAGTTGTTATTTAAAACTGATTTAAAACTTTGGTATATATTATTCTTATAAAATTTTAATTAATTAGCATGGTAAATGGGTAAGCAAGCTGTCAATAAATTAAAAATAAAACAAATAAAATAACTTTTAATATATACACAATATATTAAAATATACACAATATATTATTTAAAATTTTAAATAAAATAAAAATTAAAATATATTAAAATATAAAATTAAAATTAAAAATATATTAAAATAAATTTTAATATATACACAATATATTAAAATTTATTTTATTTGTTTTATTTTTAATTCCTATATTATACTTACATTTACTAGTTTTTCTTTGGACCTTCAATTTAGTCCTTGTTTAGCACTTCTTGTTTATCTAGACTTATATTCTTTAGTTTGTGCTTTAATATAGTGCTTGTGTAGCACTTCTTGTTTCTTTTTCTTATATTTTTTTTACGATGGTACTGCATTGTTCAGTACAGCACAAGAAAACATTTTTTCGTGAAGGTATTAGCCTACTATCTATCTTCGTCTATATACAAAAGCATTTTGTTTAATGAAAAGATTAATACAAAAACAAAATTTGTTCTTGTGGGGCATTTTTGCTAACGAAAGCTCTAATAAAATATTAGTGCTATATTACAGCAATTATATATTACTGAATGTGATAATTTTAACAAGTCATAGAAACGACTACAGCATTTATCTATCAAAATGAGTATTATTTAAAACTTTATAATAAAAAACCAATATTTAAATATTTAGTCACAGCATTAAATATAGCAATGTTTTTTGAATATAGAATATGAGCATTGAATATAGAATATGAAATGTTTTTTAAGACGGTTCTTAAAGAATAAATTACTGAGTTAAATTTCTCATAAATTGCTCGTACATAAATTATTTCATTCATAATTTTGAATATTGTCTTAATAAAGAACTCTAATATACTTAAATTCAATTATAATAGATCAGTATGAAGTACTTTAAACTACTGACAATAAAAACAATGACGCTGACAATATGTGCTGGGAAGTTGCTTTGTTATTTAATTTGCCGTACAAAACTGCTGAGGTGGTTAAAAGAAAACACAAAAAAAAAAATTGACGACCGACAGAGAATGTCAATCTGAGCACAAAAGTCTGATAGATACGCGTGCACAATATTGTTTTAAATAATTGTGGGCAGCTTAGGGGTGGCAACTCTATAAAAAACATGTTAATACGTATAACACAAAAGCTTGTACAGTCTTTTGTGCTTTTTTTTTTGTATAAAAATAATTACTTTAATAACACAAAACAACTACAGCAAAAGTAGTCACTACATATATATATATATATATAGTATATATATGTGCATGTACCCACCAATGGTGTGCATGAATATGATATAGAATGAGGGTACACACAATAGAGCGTAAGATATAAGTGGGTGTGGGTGCTACCACAGCGGCAGCAACCTAAACGTATAACGTATACCCCACTGTGTTGATGACTTTAATTGGGAATAATATTTATACGTCATCAAGTTGTTATCCTGCTGTTGGGAACTTAACTTTAAGCATATTTTTTGTGTTTAAATTTCATTGTGTAATTTTTTTTGCTCATATTTCCTGCTATTGTCAACTCATTAAAACAAAATTTTTTTATTTCTACTTTTTTTTATAGGTTTAGGTGAGGCATGGGGCTCTTCACCTGCAATGCAACGTAGTGGTGCTGTTATTAAAGAGTTAGGTTCACATTTGCTGCAGACATTGGATGGTTTCATATTTGTTGTAGCACCGGATGGCAAAATTATGTATATCTCAGAAACAGCTTCAGTGCATCTGGGTTTGAGTCAGGTAAGTGAGCGCAACGTAAAGTAGCTGAGGATGTACTCTCAACTTTTTCTAGCAAACATAAACTTTTCCAAGTGAATTATTTATGCGCATAAATTTTGGCAATACTTAAAGCAATTTTAAAGTTGCTCCTTTTTAATGCATAAATTATAATAATTTGATAAATATGTTATTTTCAGTATTATATTGTATTGATGTGTAAAAAAATATTTTTTATAAAAAATATTGATTAATTTTAAGTACAAAATTGCCACAAGTATTCGCCGTTGCCACAAATTTTAAAATAATCGTTAATAAAATTAAGTTAATTATATTATGCATACTTTTAGGTCGAATTAACCGGAAATTCAATATACGAATATATACACAATTACGATCAAGATGAAATGAATAGTATTTTATCACTGCATCCACATATGTACCAAAACCCCGTAAGTATTTGTTTTAAATGCATTTAAATTTTTATAAATTTATTTAAATTTTTATAGAATTCGGTAATTTTTTTCCTTTTTAATTTTTTAAATTATTATAACTTTTTGTAAATTTTGTAAATAATTTAAATTTTTATTTTTTTTTGGTTTATACATTTTTTGGTTTATAAAAAATTGTTCCATTTATTTATTATTTTTTTTTAAGGATGCTTTTATAAATTCTCTGCATCTCAATCAACCACCTAATGGACCTCCGGGCACAATTGGCAGTTCGAATGGTATATATCTGAATGAACGAGCTTCGCATACGATCGAGATTGAGAAAACTTTTTTCCTGCGCATGAAATGTGTTTTAGCAAAACGAAATGCCGGCCTTACTTCATCGGGTTATAAGGTATAGTTATACTTTTATAGAATATTGTGTCTTACTTAATATATATATTAATTTTTTAAGGTAATACATTGTTCAAGTTATCTGAAAGCGCGTATATTTCCTGACTGTGGTGATGGTCAAGGTGGTTGCATACAAAATTTAGGATTAGTTGCCGTTGGTCACTCGCTGCCTTCATCTGCGATAACAGAAATTAAACTACATCAGAATATGTTCATGTTTCGAGCTAGTATGGACTTAAAATTAATATTTCTTGATGCTAGGTAAGAACTTAACATACGCTTATAATAATTATAATTGATCTAATTGAACTTGATGCTGTTTAAATTTTTTAAAACTCTAAAAATTCATCACTTACAGTTTTCCTTATATTTTTTTTTTATAAAACTTATATTTGAACTGTTTCTAGTATGTCTTCCAATTAACAATCTTTCGGTAGAATTTTTTTTATAATACTTAATATAACATTATATAATAAGTAATGAAATACGTTTACATAAAAAGTAGAATAAAAACAAACAAATGCCTATAATTCAATATTTTGATATTCTATATCCTTAACCTCCATAGTTCGAAAACATGAAGCCAGGCTCGGTCAGTCTTACTATATCTCCTATAGTACATGTCTACGGTGCTCGATGAAAACAGACCAAAGCACCTGTTGCGTTTAGGCTTATCTAAAGCCGGGCTTAATATATTGGGCGTCCCATTCTTAAACACATTCGGCGATATTTTGAGCATAAGCATTAATTAGATACTTGCATTTATCTATTCCAAGGAGTGTGGAAACAAAACGGCTTTCTTAGCTAATTAACGCGGAGGTTTCGTTCCTCCTTTTTTTTTACGTACTTACCCGATGCTGTTAAAAAATTGATGAAACCAATACATGTACAACATATTTCTTCTGTCAATTTTTGATCATTTCAATAATTTTTAATAATAATAATGATAATTTTTTTTAATAGAAATTTTTAATAATTTTTTTTTTTGATAATTTTTTTTTTACATTTACACGAGGATTTTATTCTTAATGCTAGAAACAATGAAAGAGAAAGTTAGAAATTTATATATAATTTGCGATTTCTTGTGAATATCAAAATAAGTGTTAAATTAATTTTCAAAATGTTTCTTTTGCTTTTCTACACGAACACAATCAAGCAGAGTTCATGTACCCGAATTTTCAATCTGCAGAATTCATCAAGTATAGCAAGCATCAAAAATTAATGCACTAAAATTAATCCTCAAAAATTACTTAACTGTTGCATAAATTTATTTTTCGATCATTGAAATTATTATAACCTCCTCGGTCCTGAAGGCTTCCCACAAAAAAAAAATTCTTAAAATCTTTTAGCTTTTGTTTATATGTATTCAAATAAAAAAAATAAATTAATTAGACGATTTACAGCAAAAGGTGCACTAAAATAACAAACACGAAACTATTAGTGAGCTGTACAGATGGATATATAGTAGTAAAACCTTCACAAAACTTCCAAAAAGGCAGTAGAAAAGTGTCCAGCCGGCTGCACGCCAGGACCGAAGAGGATAAATTAGATTCTATTTAAAAATAAAAACAATTTTATTTAAATGTTGACAAATTTTCAATCTGCAGAATTCATCAAGTATAGCAAGCATCAAAAATTAATGCACTAAAATTAACCCTAAAAAATTATTCGATCTTTGAAATTATCATTAATTAATTTATATTTAAAAATAAATACAATTTTTATTTTAATATTGACCTTTTGTATACTATAGACCGGAGAACTAAAATTTATCTACGTTCATTAAAAATCAATAGCTGACATTAAAATTGATTGAATTTTAATAAAATATTTCAAAATTTAATTTTGAAATTTTATTTATAGCAAATATTTAATCACCACACTTTCACTTTAAAAAAACTTACAAGTGATAAGATATTACATTACCATCCACATACATTACTCGTTATATTTAAAAACACATGTTTTTTCTTCTTTCTTCTAAATTCGAACCACCCACTGAACAATTTACATACAAACAATGCAGAAAGAAGTTTGTAAGAACTTAAGTTGGTGTGAAGGGTAGAAAGATGGGGACAGGAAAACAAGAAAAACAAATCATTTGCCACTTGAATTTGATTTTTTATGCTTTGTTCGTTGTTGCTGCCGCCTACCCACAAAATGGGGCGCATAAGAATTTCCCATGTGTCTGGCATTACCGACACTCAATTACCCTCATGATGGTGCTTTGCTCTTTGTCAGTGAAACAAGAGAACAAATTTCAAAGCACAATGTATTTAAGTGGACCCGACCTCTTGCGTTTTGCTTGCTTTGCTTTTTCCATTATGCTTTTTATGCATAATTGAATCTTAGTTGGCAGAACAGTAGTGCGAAATACCCATTTATTTTTTATTTAAATTCAGAAAAAGCAAAAGAACAAACAATAACGCAAACAACAAAAACAATAATAAAATTAAACAAAACACTTTATTTATTTACAGAGTATCACAACTTACTGGTTATGAACCGCAGGACCTTATTGAAAAAACGCTGTATCAGTATATACATGTCTCGGATATATTGTATATGCGTTGCTCCCATCAGATATGTAAGTGTGTATAAAAATAATAATAGCGGCAGTAGTTAGTTATTCTTTACTGCTCTTTATCCCATACGAATTTTAACAAAATCCTTTTCTTTCTTCTATTTTTTTACAACACTATAGTGATGTATAAAGGACAAGTAACCACCAAATATTATCGTTTCCTAACAAAGGGCGGCGGCTGGGTTTGGGTGCAATCCTATGCGACTGTTGTACATAATACACGCTCATCTCGTCCACATTGCATTGTCAGTGTGAATTATGTCCTTAGGTATGTAAATAATTATAAATGTACAAAAATAATATTAATTTAAAAATTAAATAAATAAATGTCACACTAATGGCATTATGCAAAACAAACCATCGTATGTCTTAAAATAACAACATTGTTGGGATTGAGTAGAATTTTAAAGTTTTTGCTATAACAAAAACAATTCAAATTTTTTAAATTAACAAATAAAAAATGAATCTATTTAAAATTGTATTAAAAATCCTATATTCTATTATTTACAAAAATAATTGTGTCAGATATTGGAAATGTAATTGTTATAAAGTGGGCTTACTTGTAAAAATTCTTACAAGTATGAAACAAACAGTTCTTATTTCATAGAATCGAAATTAAAAAAAAAATTCCTATAATATTGTCCTAAAGTTATAACACTTTGAGATAATAAAAGAATTGAATAATGGGATTCAAATAAGACCAATATAACAGTCGGATTAAGGTTAAACTTTAATGACTAACTTCACTGATTTGAGGCTCAACTTACCCCGATATTATATTTTTTAACTTAATATTTAAATTTTTAAAATGAGAGTAACCGCACCACATTTTTGTTTAATTTTTCAATTTATATTATAGCCACATAAAACCACACAATATAACAAAAAGAAAATGAAAAAACAAAAGACTGCACTGATTGTCATACCTATGCTTTCATAAGCAATCACTGTCAAAATTTAATACTATCAATAACGTAGATATTCTCATCACTTCGTTCAGTCATGCAGTCAGCGCTCAACTTAGTTCTAATTAAAACATTAGAATTAACAACAGCCAATATGCCAGCTAGCATCTACATCTATTCTTCTATTCTACTCAAAATATTATTCTATTCTTATGATTTTATTACTTCATTTATCATCACGAACAACTTCAATCATTAGAGAGTTTTTCTATTAACGAAAAACATTCTATTTCATATTTTAATGCTGTTTTCGATTGGAAAATCTAGGAAAACTTTTCCAATCGAGATTAATTTTTAGTGCAATTTTCATTTTTGATTTGTAAAACTCGAGCGAAGTGTATAACACACCAGATTAATTTATAACACTCTAGATATTTTGTTAGAGTAGCAAGATCACCCTGAAATTAACAGCCGTTTTATATGACTATACAGATAAAGTGTGATTTGATTTGACAATTTATTTATATAAAATATTAGATTACGCTAAAAACGTTAAATCGGACAACAAAATTTGACAGATCCAGACTAAAACTAGATTGAATATAGATTTACCAATCGAAAATGAAATAAATTGCATCAGAATCTTCGTTTCAATAAGGGTCCATGAAACACTTGAGTAATTTTTGATGATTAATTTTGGTACATTAAATTTTGAAGCGTGCTACACTTGATGAATTCTGCAGACTAAAAATTTGTGTACATTAATTCGGTTTGGTTGTGTGTGTGTGTAGAAAAGCGAAAGAAATATTTTCTCAAGTAATTAATCATTAATTTTGGTATTCACAAAAATCCCAAATTATATATAGATTTCTTGCATTCACTGTTGACTGTTCCATTCTGACATTAAGAATAAAATGCGAGTGTATATGTAAAATAAAAAATATTAAATTATGTCAGAAGAAAAATATTGTGGTTGTACCATATTGTTTTCATCAATTTTTCAATAGCACCAATGCATGAGTAAAATTTTAATCAACTAAATGCAGTAAACTGTGCGAAAAATGTTATAAAAACTAATTTAAATCCTCAATTTTATTGAAGTGTGAAGGCATAGGCCAATAAGTTGCTGATTTTAGACACAAATAATTAATATATTATAACTTTAAAATAATCTACAAAAGAAAAATAAAATATTAATGCGTAAAAAAATAAATTGTTTTCTCATTTTAGTGAACAAGAGGCCAAAGACTTACTTTTAAATGAAATTCAAACGGGCATAGTTAAAACGGAACCAATCACTCCTACCGCAAGTATAACACCAACCTTACATGCAGTACACTCAACTCCATCACATTCTGTGGTTATGAGTAATGGATTAGCAGCAGCTAGTGTCGTACCAAATACGCTGAGTTGCAGTCCTAAGCTGGAAGCTTGTTACGAAGCAGCTGGACGTTTACCGAATGCTGTAACACCAGTATTAGCCAGTAATAGCAATGGAAGCAATAACAATAACAGTTACTTACCGCAAACCCATCAACATATACAACACGCCCACCACGCTGCGCACATACATACGCACCCACTGCATCCACAAGAAACAGTTGGACATGAAAATCTAAGCTATACACAGCTATATCCTGTTAATGATCTCGTAGTTAGTTCCAGTAGTAGTACGTTAACACACGATATACAATTTCCTGACACTACAACAGGTAGTGGCTACTACGGTAATACCAATAATAATAATAATCCATATTATTATGATGCAACTGTGGATGTGGCGAATGCTTCTATTATACGACCATATTCCGCAAATTCGAATAGTTGTTCTAGTAGTTCGGAGAGTGATCGACAAATGTCCACCGGGAATGCCTCCACGGTGAACGACACATCACCGCAAACTACATACAGTGAACTAAGTCATAATTTTGAATTAAATTATTTCTCCGATAGTAGTTCACACCAGCATACACATCACGCCCCGCAGCATTATTCACACGCCCATCAACACACGTCACATGATATGCAACAGCACATAGCAAGCAATCATACCGCAACACCACATCAGCAACATCACCACCAACTACATCATCATACACAACAACAACAGCAGCAGCAACCCGAACAACATCATCCGCACGTTGTGGCCAACAGTTTCGCGGATAGCTTTAAGAACGTCAACGGACCCCATTACACCAGCGTCATTGTGGAGCCCCAGCACTATATAGCCAATGATTTTGTGCATTAGCAGCTGCTGTTCCCCTGCAGAAGCCTTTAGTGTTCATATAAATATTATATTAATACGTTGTTGTTGTTGCAATGCTAGATTTTAGTTTGTTCGTACATGGCTGAGCCATTTTTATTTTTGAAATATTTGCATTAAAACTTTTATTATATTATTAATTACATATATTTTTCTTAGATATACGTATATTATTTTAAATCATAAATTATAGTTTTATTTTGTTATGTTGCAATCCTATATCAATATTTTGTAAGAATTTCATTTACATATTTTTGTTCACATTAAATTCGCACCAAACTACATGTAAGCGTACAATTAATTGTTAATGTTTAATATATAAAAATTATATAAATTCAAATTAAAATTTACAACAGAAATTAAAAATTATTTATTAAATAATGAAATTATTTTTAAGCTAAATTGTTTATTGGCTATATAAGCGAATTGGTAAATATTTATAGCGAAATGTATATATACATAAAACTGTCATTTAAACACAACTACAAACATACATAAACAATAAATTGTTTAATATTGATCTTCACACAAAGAATACATAAATACATGAATACATAAATAAATAATTATAATAATTGTAATTGTATTGTAATTAAATGTAATTTTTTTAAACTAATACTACGCGTAATGATAAATAATAAAGTGATAAAAATATTTATAATAAAAACATTTTATACAATTTTTTTATAATCTTTATAATCTATTAAGAAATATTATTAATTTATACATTTTAATGTGTTGACTAGGGTTAGGTACAACAGGTAGGTACATAGGTGAACTACAACAACAAATATTCTTTTTATATTATTTTAATTAATTGAATTTTTGGCTGACCATACAGCTGTTTCGAGTATTGCCAATTACCCATCATCAGTGCTCTTCGAAATAATTGTTACATTTAATTATTCGTAAATAATTTTTTTTGAGACTGCAAGTACCAGGAATCGAATTCGTGTCCTGCCAAATTGGAAGCTCAGAGTCAGCGCACCTTAATCTATTGACACAAAGCCGTACTTGACTTTTTATGTTCGCCTATTTTTCTGGAGTTTTGTTATTTTACTGTTAAAGTTTTATTAACAAATTGACTTATTGTGTTTATATTACAACGAAATTATAAACTAGCTGTGGAATAATTGAATTAAAAAATTAATTATACTTTTATTTTTAATTGTTTAATTTCAGTGCTATTCTGTTTGTAGAGGCATTATTTGTTGCATGATTTATATATTCTCTCTTATGTATAGAACCTAATCTAAGAAAGTAATGCTGAGAAAGTCATGATACTGTTACTCTACTAGTCGCACGGGCAAGACCAATATTTTGTGAATATAAGTTGTAATTTAACGTCAAATTTTTCAGACGGAAGTGACTATTATATTTATTAGAAACTTAGTATATTTCATAAAGAGGTTTTTACGAACAGTAGTGAACTGCAATGTATATAATTTTTTAAAAATATTCAAGAAAGAATGTCTCACGCCGCACTTATAATTCGTTATAAATTATTAATTAATTACTGATGTCCCTAAAAATATGCAATTATTTGGTAACAATTTTAATAAAATAGAATAAATAGAATAATTTCTTTATAACAAAAGAGTGTGTTGAATTATTATTAAATTCTATAAGTGTTTAGATATTCCTAAATAATCTTTCTCACGTGCCTCTTGCTGATTAAAATAAAAACGTAAACTGAGGCCATTATTGATAAGATTTGAACAATGAATATGAGGAACTATAAAAATTTTTTTTATTTTATAAGATAGCTTTATATACATTTTTTGTATAATATTAATCAAACATTGAAATAATTTTTATTGGAAATTAAATTAAAATGCGTTTATTAAGATAGATTTCACTTAAACATCTCATATTGATTATAAGACAATCTATTGCCTTTTGGTTTCAAATTTTAAAGTAAAAATTGAATTAGAATGTATTATTGACATAGGTAAAAATTATATCGATAGGCTTATTCAGAAGTTATTAAACTAAAACACTCTCAAACTCGTCCTTTGCTTTCGGTTAAAGCTTTTTCGGTATTAAAATCAGGTGTTGAAAGAAATGAGTGTAGCAACATCAAATTCAGAACACCTTTGGGCATATTTTTTATTAAGGATGGATGGTACTTTAGAAGAGCATGTGCTGTAGGGAAATTTGATATTCATTAAAGTTTTGATAAGTTTAAACTAAATCAGCATTTCTATTCTTGTGCAACAAAAGTTGTTTGAATTACCTTAGATATTTGATACCGGTCCAAAATTTTAAATTTCGGAAAACTTGTTTTTAACGTTTCTAAGTGCTAACACGATTTGAAAAATAAGAACTCCTTTAATATAATTCTTTAAGAATCCTTCTTTAATATTTTTTTTCCGTTCTAAGGTTTGTTAGTTCCCCACTACCATTGAATTATTTGTGTATAAAATACTTAATGAATGTTACTTAATTCTTGTTAGTTAATTAATTAATTATTTTCATTTCCAGAACCCTAAGTTGAAGCGATTTTATAACCTATCTATACGCATGTATAAATTTCTTAACCTTGTAGTTCTATATTAATAATTACTTATAGTATAATTAAGTACTTATAGTAATATATATCTATTAGAATTATTTGTCTATTGATATTTTTCATTTTTTAACTTTTAATTATAATGCGATAGCGTACTTATGAGTTATATTTCACTTTTTATATATAGATTCATAGTATGAAATCTGCAAAATAAATTATTTTTACTTTTACTAAATACTTCCTTAAAATTTTTTAATTGTAGTTTACACAATAATCAAAAATTTTTTATTATATTTAAAGCTGAAATTGCAAAAATCACTTAATGTCAGCATATGTGACTTTAACATTCTAACATTTGATATTAAAATAGTTATGATGTTATTTGATTCCAAAAAAAAACTGATACTGTTAATGATTATTAACTTATATTAATACTGTTGTAAGATCTATAATTGAATTAAAACTTTTAAAGCTCAATAGGATATGCATATACACGTCACTGTATTTTGTAGTTAGTCAACAATTTTATTTAGCTTCATGATTTTTGTACTTGAACTACTACTAAATCCCCGACTTTAGTACTAAAATTCCAGTATCCTGGCTTCCAGAGAGTGAAACACTGAGACTTTGATTGATCTCTTGTGCCACTTATCGACTCTAATTCAACGGAAGACTTCCCTCGTTTTTAAAAGGGAAGCGGAGTTCATATTCCATCTCTTCAGGCAGAACCATTTTGTTAGTATGGAAGCGCAGGTCATAATGGCCCCTCCAATAATCTCTTAATAACTGCAGATGAATTTTATTGTGGATGGATATCTTACAGTTGTTGTACGGACTTCACCAACTTTGGCTTTGGGGATCAACTGGAGTGTACCACCAGTAAAGACTTCGTTCAGCTACAAACCATTACAGATATTATTGTAAACCAACTTATACAAACACGCATTATTTGTAAACTAAAATAGTCAGTCTGGTTTGTGTTCTATGAAGTAGTCAATAAAATATACTTAATTTAAATCCATTAATCTTAGAGTAAATAGACAGTTTGTATTACAAATGTGACCATACTCAACTATTCCAAATATTTTTGATAATAGTTTAGACCTTTCTTGTTCAAAGTTATCTATCTTTGTCTTATATATAGTGCACAATTGATTTGTTTATCTTGAAACAATACTATGAAACAATACTAGTCACACTGTCGTTCATGGAACTTGTACCAAAATAGTAAAATGTTGCGATGTGGACTTGGACATAATTATTAATCTTTCATTTTAGTATTAAAATTTTCCATGCACTGAGCTTTATTTTAAAATTGTAAATTGTTTAATAAGAAGTGTTTTTGGTCATTTTTAATGATTCTTAAAGTATTATAGCATATTTTCAAATATTTGTGGTGTTATATATACATAAATAAAGCAGAGAGTTTTGGTAGTTCAATATATATTATTTCTGTCTGAAATAATTGCTGGTTTTACCATGCTGTTTTACTGAAATACACTAAACAGTGGCGTTTTCAGAGGAGTGAATATGAAATTGATCCTCCTCCTTTGAAAATTGTATCTATAGATAATAAAATTTAAATACATAGTCAAAAAAAAAAATACTTTCTAGTATAATCCCTCCTGAATGAGTGCAGTTTTAACATCTTTCAGAGTTTATAAATTTGCATTGTTAGATTTGCAGATCCACTGTTTCCTGATATCAAGTATACTTTATATTCGTATAAAATGTAGTGAAAGCATTCAGTCTTCTCTGAACCATTTTTGGATTAGTTGTTACAAAACTGTATAAGTTAACTGCAGCATGTGTAATTATACTATTGTAGTATAAGTATAAGCATAAAAATATTTTATATCTTGTATTACATTAATATAAATCATGTGTTTTTAAATAAGCATAACGTTGATTCAAGAGTAATAGGAATACAATTTTACAGGGGATGAAGAAATTACTGTAACATATCACTAAAGAGAAGATTTTAAAAATATTATTTATGCATATTTTAAAAATAATGCTTTTTTTAAACATAAAAAACATAATAAGAATTTTAATTAATTATAAAAATTGAAATTTTATGCATACATATATATCTATAACAGATTCTTTTATGAAATAGTTTAAATATTAATTAAAAATATTTTAAATATTTTGTTATATTCAAGCAAAGCTCATAAGACAACATTAAAACTTGAATTTAAAAGATTTTAATAGATATATAACAAAATAATTTTTAAATTTAATATGCCAACACAAAAAGTAGTGAATTTTCCGCACACAACATAAAATAATTTAATACATAGAAATGTGCACGCACAGAAAAGTACACACTTCCAGTGTAAAAGTAGCCATTATCGTTCTAACGGGCAAAGCTATTCAAACGATTTACGTGAAAAGCACCAATCATATGACTTGCACGATCATATGATTAACTTATAAGACAAGGAAACTCCCATGGCGTATTTCATATGCGCAAGCGAGATGCTTGTATTATTTTGATCAGGTGGGAAGCTTTTCAGTTAATATTTCCAACAGGAAATGTTGCTTTTAAAAGAAACTAACAAAACACCTGAGACGAACACTCAACGACAGCAGAGCCAACCGGTTGAATCATATTGATTCTAGCGACCAAACCTTACAATTGTGCGCCTAGCCAAATACTTTAGCCACAACAAAATCGTTAAGATTTTAAAAAAATTTTAAATTTTCCATCCTTGTTGAGAAAAAAAATTTAAAAAAGTGAGTGTTGATGTTAATAAAATTAAAAATTAAAAATTAAAAATTACTAAAATAAAACAATACATTTTAGTGAAAGTTGTTATTATTGATGTGAAAATAATTCATAATTTAAAAATAAAAACATTTAAAAATAAAAAATAATTTATATAAAAAAATAACTTATTTAAATAAAAAATTTTTATATATATTTTTTATATAATATAACATTGTAAAATATTTTAAATAAGTGCTATTATTTAATATTTTATAAACAAAATATATTTATTATATTTAATTCTTCAAATTTATTTAATTAATAATTTTAAAATTATTTATATTTAGTGATAAAAATGTATTGATTTATTTAAAAATATAAAACATTTGAATGTGTAATTAATGTAATTAATGTACTTATAATTATTATGTTGCAGACAAAATGAGTTCCACAGATACTACCACAGACAATCCAATCTACGGACCATTCTTCGGTGTTATGGGTGCAGCTGGTGCTATTATTTTCAGTGGTAAGTTAACGAATTTAATATTTAATAGGAATCATTAATAATTAACTTATGAAAAAGGCAGTAAATTATATATATTTTTTATGAATTATATTATAAATTAGTTTTTTTTATAATATTTAGTTTTTTTTATAGTATTTAGTAGACTTTTCATATATTTATTTTCTTCATTATTTTAAAAAAAAAGGATTTTTCAAATAAAATATTTTTTAAATTGATTGAAGTTTAAAATATTAATGTGTTTTACTATATAATTTCAATTATATTATTAATTATTATTATTATTAAATATTTGAATTATTTACAAATTTTATGATATTTAAGATGAAAAAGAAGTTATTTTATTTTGTTCTATTCGTGGCCAATGTATATCTACTGCAAGTTAATCTCTTTAGGCCACATTTTTTTACTTTAAAGATATATCACGGGGTTCTAGTTAACGATAGAGAGAAAACTAATTGTCATAATAGGCCATTAATAATTTCAAACCAAAATAATAAAAAATATGATATATTAAGAAGAGTTATAAAAAATGAAAGTTGTAGTTATTACTTTATACTTTCACATATTGTTACCTTTTTATTTAAACATATAATTATTTTATAGATATTTTTCTAATAGGGCGAAAAATATAAGCAGTATTCTAATTTTCTCAATTCCCTTAAAGTATATAATAATCGTTTGACTTATAGTGTAAAATTTAGAAGAGGATAATTAATTTCGAAATAAGATTGATCAATTAATAAAATAAAATTGTTTGGTATTTTAAATGTATTAAATATTTTTACATATTCAGAAACAAATCAAATATAAGTTAAAAAAAGTTTTTTAGTATATTCAATATAGATCTAATCAATATAGATCTCAGATCTAATTATTAATGATTTGAATTTATTTTAAATTTATAGAACCAATAAAAATTTTCGAGTTATTTAATGAATTTGAAATACAATGTAATATAATTTTATATATATAATCTTTCTTAATAGATAGCTTTATTTGAATATTAATAGGTGATTCTCCATACTCCTCAATAACATAAGTTAGAAACAAATGGGAACCCACAAAGCACACAATATATTAATAACATCTCAATTTTAATTAATCTAAATACATTATTAATATACTATATTAAAAACCATAATTATGGTTAAAAATCAAATCACTTCTTAGTACACATTTTGAATAGACTGGATTATTCTAAAGAAAATATCCACAAGTGGTTTCACCGATAGGCATGTGATAAATGTCATGTGATTTCACTTGTGAGCCACATCAAGTCTATTCGTATCTGATAAATAAAACTGCAAAGCTACAAAGTTTTAACCACAAAACAAAAAATTAAATTAAAAGTACTTATTCTTTTTAATAAAGTTTATTTATTAATGCTCACAACTCTTCAAATTTACAAAAAGAAATACTTAACTTAGGAAAAAATAACAACAAAAATATTTTAAAATACTACTTTAATAAATAGAAAATAAATGAATGATTAGATATTGAAGCAATTGATTTTAATTTTACAAAAAAAAAAAATAAAAAAAAATTGTTATTAACAATTATAAAAATTCATTTAATAAAAAAATTGTTTAACAAGCAATCGAGAGCACTTCGCTTTGGTTGAGTACGTTTTTGGGGTTATGTGCAATAACATTGTGAGAACACATACGGTTTGTTTATTTATTATGTGTAGTTATTATCAATATTAGATTATAAATATGGTATACAATAAATACTTCTTTGTTCCATAAAAGTTGCTTTATTATGATTATTTTTTTTTTTTGATTAACATGAGTTTCCTTCAAAGTTAACTGATATCCACATCTATTGACGTATACATATCTGAATTTTGTTTGTACATATATGTACGTACACCTTAATGTAAATGGCTTATCTGACCATTACAATTTTTATACAGTTAGTAACATATATTATTTATGATTGCTGGTTTCATAAATCTAGTTAATATATATATATTTTTTCATAATTTTTTTATCATAATTAAACTAATGGACATATAAGTCCAAAATCTTTATCTGGTTTTCACTGAAATTAATGAGGCCTGATCTTTAACTTAGAAATATTGTAGGCTTACTAATAGGCTTAATTTGCAGTAGCTAACTCAGAACACTTTCTTCTGGTATAGCAGAAAATACCTCATAGATTGTACTAAAGCATTATTTTTAATTTGTGTTAGCTAGCTTAGGAAATTTTCTCACAGATCTCATAGATTTTACTGCAGTATTAACTCTTCTTAATATAATATATAATTTGAAGTATCTATTTTCTCTGGGTATAGCATTTTCTCTGGTATTTTCTCTTTTTCTGAGAAGATCTTATTATTTGTATTGCAGTACCTATTTTCTGTTCTTAATATAGTATACAATTTCTAGAAGTTAGCTTAGGAGATTTACTCCTAGCTTAGGAGATTTTATGATACAAAATTTTCAGTGCCTATCTTGAGATTTTGTTCGGGTATAGCAAGGATCTCGTAGGTTTTACTGAAATAAAACTCTTCTTAGTATAAAATGTTACTATATTATTATAATTATATATAATATATAAAATATATAATATATATGATATAGCTATTTTTTTTGGTTATAGCAAGGAGGATTTAATGAGCTCTATTGCGGCATTATCCTTTCTAAATATAATATATAATTTGTAGAAGCTAGCTAGAATTTTTCCGGGTATAATAGTAAATATATGATAGGTCGTAGTAAAGCATATTATCCCTTCTAAATATAAAAATTAGTAGTACCTAGATTGAGATTTTCTCCCGGTATAGCAGAAAAGATTTCATAGGTTTTACGGCAGCATCAACTTTGCTAAATACCATATAATTACATAGGTATATTGTTTTTTGCAGTAATAGCAATTCAATATATTCAGATCTATCAAATTTGTGAACTTTCTATATCATGTTGCATATATTGTGTATATTATCCAACCTTTAATGTTCTATTTACTTCACACATTTTAAATATATATGCAAATATATAAACCATATACATAAGAAATGCATTACTAACAAAAAATGAGTAAGCTTAGTTTATTGAAATATTGCAATAAATTATATATTATTATTATTATATAGTTTATTGAAGTTATTATATCATAACAACCTTTCAGTTACAACTTGTGCAATATTTATATTAACATTAAAGTTAATATTTAGTTTATAAGGTAATATTAAGTTAACTTATAACTTATCACTAATAATGATAAGTTATATCATATTAATAATAATATGAGTTAATAACTTATTATTAATTTTATATTAATAACAATCTTTATGCAATTTTTTATTTAACCTAAATATTACTTCGGTTTTTGTTTAAATTAAAAAATGCAAAGTATTTTACTTGCCGCAAAATAGTTATTAACTAATAAGAACAATAAATTAACGTTGAAATTAATATTTAGTTAATAAGTTGACATTAAGGTTAACATTGAGTTAATAAAGTTAATTATTAATTTTATATTAAAAATAATCTTTATGTAATGTTTTGTTTAACGTAAAATAAAATTTTTATTTGTTTAAATTAATAACTGTAAAGTAGTTCACTTGCCGCAAAATAGTTATTAATTAATGAGAAAAGACGATTTGTCATAGCACCGCACCGATTTCATAGTTCAAACTTACTGAAGTAGGAACCAAGTCAGCAAAGTTATTAACTTAAACACGACTTAAGTCAGTATTGACTTAATTAAGTGATGACTGTTCATAAAGTTTTCTCGCCTTATAATTATTTATTTATTATTTTTAAACATGAAAAGAAAAATATATATAAAATTTAAAAAAGAAAAATAAATATCAAAAAAAGAAAAATAAATTATTTAAAAAATAATAAAAGTCTAATTTGTATATTGATTAAGTTTATTTTTTTTTTTTTGTTTCTAATACATTCATTGTTAGTAATACACAATCATAACAATATCATATCACATAATCAATTGATTATTTTTTTTTAAGAATTATTTATTTCTACGAAAAAATCGTCAACACTAGAAAATGTCTTTAAGACCTTAAAGAAAAATGAATCAATCTTGTCATATCAATAGAATAATAAATTAAAAAAAATTGTAGCGACGATAATGAAAATTTGTCAAGATTAAAACCAGCGTCAAAAGTAATTATCAACGTGTTCTCCACGTTAATAGACTAAAATGTGAGTAAATTAAATTAACATTCAATAATTTTGACTGTAAAATGTCAATTATATGCCTTCAGCTAACAATTAAGGTCGTCTCAGTATTGAAGCACAACTGCACTTGATCGAATTATGGTTTGGTAACTCGCATGAGACACGTATAAATCTTATCAGACCCATTATCAGCCACAACGGCAATTAAGTGCTTTAGGCGATAACATTTGTTTACTTACAAAATACCCTAAATACTCTAAATTAGTTTGCTTTACTTAAAGAAAAAAACCAATAACTCAATTACATGTAACTCCCGATGACTTAAAAAACAATTGTACATACTATAGTATCGCAAAAGTAGGAGCTTAAATATATTAAATAATGTTTGCGTAACAAATAAATTTTTATTACATTCATATCAATTGCACATTTGTTGAAATCAAATTATTAGATTAATAAGTTTATTTCAGAATATTTTTAGTCATCTACATAGTAATTCTGTTATAAGAGTTTGCTATATTACAAAGTATATGAAAATGTTAAAAATTATTAACACTGGATTATTATTTTTTATCATCTCATATATTTATTTCAAAGTGAAGATTTATTTGTAGAGATGTTCTTTACAGAAATCGTAGTTCTTTTTATGTGTGGTGTATATGAGACTGCAATCCGTAATCCTGTACTTCTTTCTCTAAACAAGCTAGGCTTCACAAAATTATGCTACATTATTATGGACATTTAATCTATACTTTTATTAGGAGCTTATAGTGTCTACATAGCTTAATCGATTAGGTTGTTTATTGATCCTAACTCCGTAATATCTATTTTTCAACTCAATTACTGAAAAACATTACATTAAAATCATTTGCTATCTACAAAAACACATGACCATAACTTTATTCTTGATCTATAACATATATGGGGCACCTTTTATTCCCAGACCGTTTTCTCATTATTAATTATTACTTTAGAGACATTTCATGGCGTCAATGGTCGCTTATGCTCGATTTCAGATTACCAGTTATTTGCATTTTCTTTTAAATCAAGCCAATCTATATATATTTGGCAGCTAAAATAAATTATAATAATAGTAGTGATCTATATATTCAAGGACCGGTAAGCTTTAATAAGCATTGTCAAGAATATTATTTTTATGCCGTCCGTCACTCATCGAGATAATTTAATATAGTATAGTTATCATTACCTTACTAACTGATTTGACATCTACACTGGTTAAAATTTGACAAAATTTTTATGTTCGAAAACAAAAATGTATTATTTTCGAATTTTATATCCAAATAAAATTTTAACGAAAAAGTGAGAGTGTACGCAAATATCTGACCAAAGTTTATCCAGAGTCATAAAATTATAATAAATATAGAGATATCTGGCGTCTGATGAAGATCACTGACATCTAGTGAAGATTACTGACAACTGATTTATATAATTTAAAACGAATACCAGTAATGCAGATACATATAAATATATGAAATGTTAAAAACTAGAAACTGTTATATATATGTATTTGTTATATACCTAGAATGTAATATAAAAAAAATTTAGAGTATGAATTAATAATTATATGCAAATACTACATTAATAGTTTAGTTTTACTTATTGTAAGTTGACGTAATTATAATAATTAAATCTAATAAAAATAAAACAAATCTGATTTTACCACAAAGTAAATAATATGAATTTTCTTCTATTCATAGCAATGGGTGCCGCCTATGGTACTGCGAAATCTGGTACTGGTATTGCTTCCATGGCTGTAATGAGGCCTGAAATGATAATGAAGTGTATTATTCCTGTGGTCATGGCGGGTATTATTGCTATTTATGGTTTGGTCGTAGCCATTCTAATTGCTGGTGATTTAAAGAGCGCATCAGATGGTTACACCCTTTTTGAGTAAATCAATTCATAATTATATATAACAAATAATTATTTATCAATAATCAATTTTGTTTTAATATTTAACAGTGGCTTTATGCATTTGGGTGCTGGTTTGGCTGTAGGATTTTCCGGGTTAGGTGCTGGCTTTTCGATTGGTATTGTTGGTGATGCTGGTGTACGTGGTACAGCACAACAGCCACGTCTTTTCGTTGGTATGATCTTGATTCTGATTTTCTCTGAAGTCTTGGGTCTTTATGGTCTTATCGTTGCCATTTATCTATATGCCAAATAAGTTACATGATATTTTGCCTCGCAAGTCGTACAAATCATGTGCTACTGCAGCAACAACAAAAATTAATTACCAATTATTAATTAATGTTCGCATTTTATGTTAAAAAAATTTTATGAAAAAAATTTTGAATTGTACATGTAAGTTTAGAGTAATAAACAGAAGATTTTAAATTTACATGTACAATTTGAAAATTTCCACCAAAAGCAACAGTTAAAAATAATTTTATTCACAAACTCGATTTAAATTTATGTATTTTGTGTATCAACTAAGCAAATACAACAACCATGAAAACACACATGCGAAACACACACACTCAAACATAACATACATTATACACTGTAATTAAGTCTCAATTTATTTATTTGTATTATTTATTGTTGAATATATAAATAAAGTAAGAACTATAAATTGTAAAATATATAAAAAAACTTAAACAAAAAAATTGTAAACGAAGAAGAAACAAAAAAGAACAAAAAAAGAGCAAAATCCCTTTTAAACGAGAAAAATGCTTATCACAGCAAAAACAGCAACACTGGCAGCTTTTGCTGAAGTTTTTGGTGAAATATTCGTGATGCTGAGAATATGACACAATTAAATTGAAAACATTCGGTGTTGTTGTTTTTTCTTGTGATTGTAGAGAAACTGTATTATTAGTTATTTGAACAAACAAACTATGAAATGAATATCAATAAAAATTGTATATTTAAATTTCCAACAAAAAATAACTTTTTATTACTCTCCCTAATAGCGATGTAGCTAAACAGATATATCGAATTATCAAGTCATATAAAACAGTTGTTAAGTTCAAAGAAATCTTGCTACTCTGGTAAAATATCTAGAGTATTATAAATTAATTTTATAGTAATTTTCCACTGTTTACTTAGTAAGTGTAACTTACTTAGTAAATTTCGTTAACCATACAACGAGCTTCCGTGCTTTCCAATTTACTTAAAAATAAATCAAGGAAAATTAGACCAAAAATGTCGAATGCAAGCCTTTAAAATAAATTTCCCACAAGGCATATTATCAAAATTAGAAATATTTGTCATATGCTGAGCTGTAAACCAACGCGCTGAGCAAATAAGTATTCAATAAAATCTTTGTTTTTATTAATGCAATATGCAATGGATATATCAAATATATATATAATTAATTTAATATATCAATTAAAAACTCTTTCAAATGCAATAAGTAACTTATGTCAATGGAAACGACAAAATCTTAAAGTTACCTAAGTAACTTACTAAGTAAGTAGTGCAAACGTGTCATTTTAGTAGAATAGCTTATTTTACAAAGATATATATGATTATTATACCTAACTTGTCAAATAATTGAGTTTTGAAGTTTTACATTTTTTATGTTAACAATAATAAAAAACAATACACTCGCCATCTAGCGTCCACTAGTATATGCAATATTTGTATTGAGTACAATGTCGGTTAGCAACAAGAGGAAGTTCTAAGAGGAAGAGGAGACTGTACTTGTTTTTAGTGGTTTTTAATTAAAAATGTTCAACTCTAAAATCTGAAATCTCGAAAACTAAGCTTAAACTGACATATGCCATAATGGAGAAAACTGTTTTTACTAAAACCAATAATTTCACAAGCATATGTGGGAAATTTAAATCGTGCCTTACAGAGTAATAAAAACTTTGAATTCGGCCCTCGTAAATTTAAAGTGCTAAATTATTAATTTGTAAAGGGTATTGTGAAATAAAAATATATCAAAGAAATTTGTAAAATCTGACAATAAAATTTATATTCAAATTAAAATTTGATACTATAATTATATAATTAAGAATAAGAATACGAAATTTAGGACGTGTGCGAGTTAGGCTAAGTTGATGCTAAACCAAATGGGAGATTTTTTGGGATTTTTTGCACTGCACACATTTAGCCATTTATCAACACGTATCGACACATCACTACATTATCGGCACAACTTAGTATTTCCCTCATTTAGAACGCAACTTAGCCTAACTCGCACACGACCTTAAATAAACATTAAAATATTCAAAAATATTTGTTTTTTTCATTTACAGTGAATCTAGTCTGCGCTAGAGACCGCTATGTAAAAATTGTTCGTAAGATTATTGTTAAAACAAATGAACAAATTTATGTAAATGAAAAAAATGTCACAAGCTATGTACAATAAAAAGTGTAAGTAAAATAATACAACATTAAATCATTAACATCATTAATAAATAACATTATTTATTAAAAATAATGTCAAATTTTTATTCGATTGCTTTTGGGACATTCAAAACTTTCTCATTAGTGCCTTTAAATTGGCGATCAGCCATCAAAGTGTCCGATTTGTAATACTTAATAGTTGGTCTATTTCTGATTCTATTCTAAATAATATATTCACAAATATTTTACCAACTAGCCTTTAAAAAACATTTACTGTTAAAAATATTCTCTAGATAAAAAAATATATTAAAGCTAGTAAATTAGTCAATAAAATTTCATTTATAGCATCCATATTTTAGTTAAAGGATTTTATATTTTATAATATGTTATGAGAAATAAATAACAGGATTATATAAAATATTAAAATAGATATAAATATAATAAATAACTTCTACGAAAGTTTTCACATAATAATGAAATTTATAGCCATTGTAAATAAATTTGTAACTAAGTAGGCTATGTTTACATTTATATGTTAAATATACAAAGTATAAAATTTATGTTTTAATCATTTAAAACAAATTAAAAACTTTTTATATTTAAAACACATAATTAAATGTTATACACATATTTTACAGATTTCAAAATATATTTTTGCTTTTAACCGCTAGAGGTCAACTCCAACCAATCTGACATTTGTTAACGTCAAATTTTGTGTTCGAAACGAGTCTCGTTTTTCTGATATCGAAACTCCGACAGCTCGGCCATCTTTCTTTTTCGTAAATCCTCACACAAGTGACAAGGTGAGATATAAAAATTATAAAATATTTGCTAAAATTTCGCAATATTGTGTATAAAACTGTGTATAGATAATGATTTTTCGATCGTAATCAAATATATAATAAAATATTTAGTATGTCTGCGGTACTTAAATAGTTAATTATAACAAACGGCATCACACGTGTTGTGCGCTGAACTGACAAATAAAATAGTGTTTAGTGAAATTTACAAATAATTTGTTTTAAATTTCAGTAAAGCAACATGCAACTGTTCGTACGTGGTTTGGAGAATATTGAGGCTCTTGAAGTCCAACAAGATGCCAACATTGCCGCAGTTAAGGTAAGTACGATTGAATGAAAAAGTGATAGCAACAAGGCGTTTATAGTCGCTTTGTAGCTAACCTCACATATAAATATTTTTTTAGTTAAAATTTTATTAATTGACGTATTCTATTTCGTTTAGGCTCAAATTGCCCAATTGCATGGCTACAATACTGAGGAATTCAATTTGAATTGTGAAGGTACTCTCTTGAACGATGATACCAGTGTATCTGCTCTTACCTCATATGAGTTGGATATCACCATTCCAATGTTGGGTGGTAAAGTTCACGGTTCTCTTGCTCGTGCCGGTAAAGTAAAGGGCCAAACACCAAAAGTTGAAAAGCAAGAAAAGAAAAAGAAGAAGACTGGCCGTGCTAAGCGAAGAATCCAATACAACCGTCGTTTCGTTAATTTCGTGCAAGGTTTCGGTCGTCGTCGTGGTCCCAACGCTAATGCTTCTTAAATATTTTTGTATTTAAATTTCCAGATGTTTGAAACATATTGAAAATAAAATAAGGATTTTCCACATTACAAATTAATGTCGCTTTGTATATTTTTAAAAAAGGATTTGGAATATTTGTGAACAATTTCAGTTGGTGATGATAGAGATAAAGCCAATATGATGATATAGATGTGTTTAAAAAATCGACGAAGTAAATAATATATTTTCATGCAGACGAATGTTTAGCATAACTTGATATTGTTTATAAGATTTTAAACATGTGTGTAATCAAAATCAAGTTAGAACTATTAATAATAATGATTGAAAAGTTAGTAATATAAGTACTTATAAGATTTGTTCGCAAATATTCTAACAAAAATACATATATGTAAATATATAATTATTTTATATATTATGCAGCTACGTGGAGTGGAACAGTAGTAGAGTAATAGTATAGAATGTTGCGGTCGGATTTATACGTTCTGCAGCCACTGGTTTCTTCAAAACACAATGTGCTGTTCGCCTTTCTCAACATGGATATCAACAAAAATAATAAGTCGTTATTTATAACGTTTTATTTTTATTAATTAGTTGAACCACAATATAGCTAGTATCCTTCTTCCAAGTTTGCTGCTTGGTTAAATCCATGGAATTATGATTGGTGGTCGAAAACTTTAAAACGTGTAATTGGTAAATACAACCTAATTTGCAGCTGACAACTGATTACTAAGTTTTTTTTTAATAATCGACTAATAAGAGTAAACAATCGAAACTACATAACATATTTCATTTTCATTATTTTTATTATTTTTTAAATTTATAAAGTGAAGGCATATATTATCTATTGACTATTCGTTCATGTTGTATTTGTTGTTCTTGAAGTCCGCGTAGAAAGTATTGAACGGTATTTCCTTGTCACACTGGACGAGTGGTTTCAGAACGTCTGGATCTGGCCATTGTTGATGCAACTATTCCTCCGTGGTTGAGTTTTATTGTTGTAATGTTTGTAATTATATATTATCAATTATTAATAAAGTACATATAAAGCAAATTAAAATATACTTTATTAGGAATGAATTGTCGTAATATCCAGTTTAATGCAGCTATGGAATACGTAAAAAGAATGAGCGAAAATAATATTTAAAATACCTATTTGAGATGATAGCGTAGGTAAATATTTTCTATTTGCAATGATTCTGCTTTTTAATTGAAACAAAAAACAAGTTATTAAGTATGACGATAACCTGGACTGTTGCGTCAATAACAAGGTTCTAATTGTTTACCAATTATTGATCAGACTTAACTATGAACAAAAGTCATTCCAAAATAAGACATCTACATAGAATTGTATGCTTACATTGGTTCTTGTAAGATTATTCACAGATTCATTGCTATCGATTCTAGCATGATAAGACTATCAGTGAAGCATTAGCTACTTTTGGTTTGATATTGGCTGAAGCGTGTTACAGCCATGCAACAGGAGTCTTGAGAAGAGTTTCCAATAAGATATTCGATATACTATTATTATAGATCAGTAAATAAATAGATGTACATAAATAGTATTACACATATATTATAGAAATATTTTTTTATTTGATATACATATATATATCAAACATTAATATATATCACATTATATATATATAACATTATATATATCAAACATACATATATCAAACATTTAAAATTAAGTTTAAAGCATTTCAAGAAAATTATATAAATAAATAGTAAATACTAAATTTATTTCTAATATATATTTATTTCTTATCGCACTTAATATAACAAAACTTTAAAATTGAGTTTAAAGTTTAACTATTGAATATTATATAAATAAAGAGGATATATTATATTTTCCATATATATATATTTTTTTATTGCATTTAATATAACAAAAATTTAAAATTGAGTTTAAAGTTTTACAATTGAAACTTATATAAATAAAAAGTTAAAGTTTAACTATTGAATATTATATAAATAAAGAGGATATATTATATTTTCAATATATATTTATTTTTTATTGCACTTAATATATCAAAAATTTAGTTTAAAGTTTTAAGATGGTAACTTTTATAAATAAAACGAATATATATTTATTTTTTTTGCACTTTTATCAAAAATTAAAAATTGAGTTTAAAGTTTTACAAATAAAATTTATATAAATAAAAATGATATATTATATATCCCATATTTATTTTTTATTGCTCTTAATAGATCAAAAATTTAAAATTGAGTATAAAGTTTTAAGATGGAAACTTATATAAATAAAAGGGACATATTATATTTCCAATATATATTTATTTTTTATTGCACTTAATATATCAAAAATGTTAAATTGAGTTTAAAGTTTTACTATTGAAAATTATATTAATAAATAATAAATATTATATTTGTTTACACAATAAAAGTTAAATTTTAATTGAAACTTTTTTGTTAGTAATTTTGCTCGATAAGTTTTCTTTAAACGTGGATCATCATATATATTTTATGTTGTAAAAATAGCTCTATTGTTTTCTCTGTCTACGACGTATAGTCGATAAAACCAATATTCAATAAACAAAATGAATATAGAAATTGCGAATCCTGAAAAAAAAAAAATTTTGCGTTTATATGATATATGTATATGTATTTATTTATAATAATACAATAAAAAATATAAATAAATAATAAATATAATTTAAATAATATAATTTAAAATGAATATAAATTAATACATATAAATGAATATATATAATAAATTTATTTATAACAAATGATATGAGATGTTTAATTTGGTAATTTTTTTTTTATAATGACGTACGGTTAGTGTAGCCAGACTTTTCAATTTTAGTAGAAGAGTTCTAAGGAAAGTATTTTAACAATTTAACATTGAAATTATTTTTTAAATAATTTTTCACGTTTTTAAGATTTGCAGTTAACCCATGTGAAATGATAAATTTTCCCTAATGGAATCCAATGAGGTCTATCACTGATTTTATCTAGAAAATAGGAATACTGATATTACTACTAATAGAGGAAATCACATATTCTTGTACATTGTATTAATTATTTAATATTTAAGATAACGTGTTAACGTGGAAAGAATAACTTCAATAACTTAACTTTTAAAATGAGATTTGTTTTAAATAGGGCTGAGATGAGAAACTAATATCGGGGGACTTTCAAGTCCTAGATCGACTATAACTTTGTTTATTTCTTGAGTCATGTACATGCATATATATACCTACATTTAGTTATGCGATTTATTTCGGGGGGTGGTGGGTGACTAGAGCATTTCAAGCGCATTGAAAACCTGCAGGATTAACGTAAAACAGTACTCCCGGAAGTAATTTGGAAAAAGTATATTATATATAACTTCATGTAAATCATATATATAATCTTAAATTCAATAAGAATGTTCTTGTAGCCGGCAGGGATTTGCCTGTTGAATTGTGCTGAAAAGGATTTGGTCGTCGAATTCGAGGAGTGGCCCCAAATAAGTTTGTATGTTAGTATTCAATTTATTATAGAAGAGTACTAAATAGAGTACAACAGGGTTTAGAAAGCAAATTACATACAATTACAAAAAAAAAAATTTTAAATCGAAGTCTTCAGAAGTCGAACCTTTTCTTTGCAAAAACTACTTCGTGTTATGGAAGTTAGACTGTATACTAATTCTTAATATATACTAGGCAATTAATTTATTGTTGAGAGGACGAGAGGATATAAAGATATACAATAGTACTGAAAATATGAAGATCGCTATGAGTATTACTTTTTTAATAGATGATTGGTTTGCCACTGGTTATTGATTACTGAGCAAATTTTACCACACCAGTTGTGATTTCACCTTTCAATAAAAATACGTTTAAAATACTTTCATAAATCTACATTTATGGCGACCAAGTGCCTTTTACCACTCCAGCTGGGATTACACATCTCACAAGGTCCCAAGAGTGGTTAGATCTAAATTCCGGAGTTCGTTCAGAAATCAGTTCGACGTTCAAGTCCCTTTCAGCACACATAACACGGACTACACAGGAGCCTTGTAAGATATAACAACAACAAAAACAACAACTACTACAGCAAAAACAACAACTACTATTACAACAACGACAAAAACAACAACTACAGCAACAAAAACAACAACAAATCAATTACAACAACCACAACAACACCTTCCACAGAAAACACGTTGAATAGAATGTTGACCAGTAATAGTAGGCAGTATCGTCCTTAAGCAAACTCGAAATATTGCAAAATTTTAGATTTGTTTGATATACATAAATATGAATAAATATTATAATGATTTTGTTAAAATATTCACCTAATAATAGTACGAGAAAGCATCCTTGCATATCATCTAAATTTACTTTGTGGTTGGTGATTTGTCGGAGTACACCTTTTCCATTGCATTTCTCCATTGAAGGCAAATTCGTTTGGTGCCACCTCTCAATGAAACCCATTTGAAAAAGACGCGTTATTTTTTCATTGATCAAGTGCAGATATGGATTGTTGCTAGGCATAATTAAGCCGACTTGTTCATCCACAAAATTCTCTTTACCAAGTGCGAATTTACATTCTTTATCCTTGTCAAGATGATTTTGTACGATTAGTTGTAAATTTATGCGCCAATCAATATTAACCCTTTAGAAATAAAATCACTAAAAATAAAAGTATAAATTATTACCGAAAATAATATAACTACCTTTTACCACTTTTAACTGCATTAATGTCTTCATCTTGTGGATTACTGTAGATCTTTGCTCTAGCCATATATCTATTAAAATCAGTTCGCACAGAGGTCTGCATTAGAATCGAATTTAATAAAATAAAATCAAATTAAAAAATATTATTTTCAATTTAATGGATATTATTATTATTTTTAAACATGAACTAGACTAACATTGATAGATAACTTTAAAGAAGCATATAAATAGTTTATTAGTATGGAAAAGCTTTTTGGATTGTTAAATTTATTCAGATTGCCAACAGACTGCGGGGTGTGAAATCTCGTAGTGGTAGTCCAAATAAACTGATGTGGGCTCAAATTGCATATTTTTAATTTCTTTATATAAAACACACATTTTGAAAAAAACCATTCCGGTTAGAAGAGCATCAGAACCGGCTTGGTGACGTGGCCCGATACGATGTAAATCCAACTGATCTGCTAGTTCTTGTAGACCACCTCGCAAAGTGCTAATATTTTTCATCAGATATTTTATGTCGTAAATTGTGGGAAAATACAAACGTAAGGTCTCAAAAAATTGTCTCTCTTCCGCTGGCAGCGTTGTGTTTGTTAGTAATCTTATCAGATAGCCAAAATCGTAGCCGGAGTGAAAACTTACGAACTTCACATTTTTCATTAACACCACACCAGACATCATGAGCAGTTCCGCAAAATCCGTTGGATCTATGCCGTCTATCTCATGCTGTTTGAATTTAATACCGGCATTTTGTAGCAGTTCAATGGAGTTCACAGCGTACATATCACTACGAAGACTGAATTTAAAATTAAATTGCCAAGTGGAATAATCAGCTGGTTGCTTGCCGTTTTCGTCCATAAACGCAAAACCAATTTGTATAATGTTTAATAAATTTACATTGACCCGCAATTGTTGATAGTGAAAGTCGCCAGATCTGCCACCCAATGGTCGCGCAACAATTCCCGGAAACTCTGTATCCAACGCAATGACAGGATACGTTTGCACAACTTTACGTATTTTACGAAATTCATCTTCAAGGTTGTACCGCCAAACTTCTCGAATCAATGGACTTTTTTTATAATTTATAATTGGAATTTCCTTTGAATTAGCAAAACTGCTTGAAGAAAACTCTGACATCATAATACTGGCTAACTCCAAGAACTGCATTAAAGCTACCTCAAAAACATTTATATCATAACAAAGAAATCCTATGGTCAGAAGCAGTCATTTCAATATTTTGAACAAGTTTTAAAGTCACTGATTCGTGGCACAGTTTTACGAGTATTGCTTATATACAATATTCGTTTTCTTATTCTTCTTCCTTACCATATGCTTTCAAATTCGTTTCGTATACGTTTTAAGCGGCCTATAAATGCAAATACAAGCTCAATTTTTCACCCACCCACCGATTGTAATGTATTGTCAATACTTTGTTTTCAAATAGTTAAATTCTGTAAATACCTACTTTATCGATTTACTTGATTAATTAATATTACCATGTTTACATTTACAATTAACCAATTTCATTAGCACATATTTTTGTTTGGATTTGAAATGGATTTTGTAAAAAAATCTCATTGTATGACAATTATGTGCTAAATGATGGCGTTCATTGCGTTAATTGTGATTGCATAAATGAGTTGCAGGTCTATAAACAATAGTTAATAAATTGATAATACATTTCTTACAAACATATGTTTATTGTGGTCGGTAATTACATGTGCGAAAAGAATTTCAAGTTGAAAATTATCCATAATATAAATATATTTATATATTTAATAAATGGAGTAAGTTAGAAAAATTAACAACTGCAATTTATTTGAAATAAGTATGTACTTATTAATTGATTTATAAAGCCGTTTCTCTAAACTAACATAATAATATTCAATAACATTACTTGCAGAGTGCTGCGAATCCACTAAATTCTGGCTATAACTATTTTAAAGTCAGTTATAACTATTTAATATAGTAATTAATATTAAACACTACTGTAAGTAAACAATATTTTTTGTAAAAACATGACAAAACATAGCTTGACAATTGACAGGTAATAAAATTTCAACATATCTATAGTTTTATTTATTATAACAAAAAGTGAGATATAAATAAATAGTCCATAAGCATCATATGAAGACAATTGAGAAATTGTGAGCATAAATATAAAAAATTTTAATCTTTTTGATTTTATCAGTATATTAGATTATACTGGTGTTCCCTAGAGGATCCACCATTGGCTCATTGTGTTATCAGTATATTAGACAAAATCAGTATGCGGTTGATATCTAGCGAGAATATTTATTTTTTAGTCTACCAACATTATACGTGGATTGTTATTTCCATTCTTTTTGGTCCTTTTCTTGTGTTCCGGTGTGTAGTAATCCTTGCATATATTTCATAATTTTATCATTTTCAAAACTATCTAAGCTTTTTTTCTGTTAATGATTTACACGACAAAAATATAATTACATGAAGTTCATAACAATGGTAACTAATTCTTTTTTATTAAAGTTCACCACTGTAGTCATTTTCCAATGCGATTATTGCATTTACAAATTTTTCAGCTAAACGGATCTGTATCATCTGTTATTATAACAAGTTATATTGATCACATGTGTGATTTTTAAATAAATTTATATATCATTTAATATAATGTAATATAATATAAAACTGATAAAAAATTAATTTCAAAAACCCAAATAAGTATTTAAACATTTTTATTAACTAAAGTTAGTATCTTATTAAGTGTTTTCTAATGTTTTCGAATAGCAGTTGCTAAAGTAGTTCTCTTTCAGCTGCTTAATATTAGCACAAAAAAACTATTAACTGTTAATTTTTATTAGTGTAGGAAGCTATGCATTCGACACTCACAATAACTTTACAACTGTACGTTTAAAAAAAATCACCGCCTTCATTTGCGAAATTTTATTCGAAATTAAATTTCTGAGGCGCTCGGAAGCTAAAAAAGTTTGTTAAATGTAAATTGATAATTAAAAATATAATTAAACGATATATATTCGCAGTATTTATACTATTTTAAATATTTTACTATCTTTAATATTTTGATATAACTAATAATTTGTTTATTTGGCCGCTTTGTCGTATTTTTCTTCGTCGAAGTTGCACGCAACATTATATGTTAACCCGTAAATTTGTTGTTTTTTAACTTACCGCTGCGTATTTTTCAAATAAAGTTCCATTTCGTAATCCAAATTGTTCAATATTCTTGCCTTTGAATAGTTGAAACAGATAATCAACTCCAGGTTGAAATTTGGGAAAAGTTAAAAAGGCCACCAAATTGCCGCAATAAGTTGTCACCAGAACAATAACAACAAGCCACCAGAAACCGATAACCAGACGACCGCTATCAGCTTTTGGTAAGTACATGCCTCCTGTGTAATAAATTTATATATTTAATTTAAAAATAATCCAATGTATATTTAGTTTATTTATATTAACCTTGCTGCAGTAGTGCTCCGTAGACATACCAAAAACAATTTCTCAAAGTGCATAAGCCACGCATTCTTAGGTGCTCCATTGGCACAAAGTAATTGATCAAATATAGCACTGGTATAGTTAAGGCCATTGCGCCTAATAAGCAACCCCAAGTCTAACATTTAAAATATACGAAAATAATAATATTACTTTTCAAATGTTTAAACTAATATAGGTTACTAAAAAGGTTACTTTACCTCCAGTGTAAATGGTGCTGTGAAGAGATAAATTCTGCTAACTTCATCTGGTCTGCGCAATATAAAGGAATATCTTTGTACACTTATAGGCTGCGTATAATTGAAAGGCTTTTTATGTGGCTCATCAATAGTAGCAGCGACAGCAGCCATAAAAAACTGAAGAGTTTTATAAAATATTAAAAGTAAATATAATATTATACTAAAGACATATTTACTCGACTTCCTTGCATTAAATCTATGACATTATAAGGTATTATATGTGTCAAGGAGCCCGTTAAGGTATTCTATATAAAATATTTCCTATAGTAAATGAATTAAATAATAAATTAAATATTACGTTTTCATTATTATAGAGTAAATCGTCTTCATCTACTCTTTTTACTTCATAAAAGTGATATGTAAAGTTTAGCATGCGGCTGAGCTCCTTCAGAATTTCTATAACAATGCCACTATGCTCTACAACAGCACCTTTGTTATCTTTCTTGAGTATTTGCCAAGGTGGATTCTATACAATAATTATTCATTCATTAGTTATTAAGAATTCGTTTTGTAAATCGCATTATATAATATATATAAGTATATAATATTAGTATTAATAAGTATTAATATATAAGTATATAATTCTTCAGCTTACATGCATAGTTACAATATCTAGAGTAATATTTCGGAAATAGTGTTGAATGTGTGGAAAAGTTAATTCATGTGTCACAAAACCATTAACTGGACTCCAGTAACCAATATTGATAAACTCAAAATTCTTATTTCGTCCCTCTCTTGTCACTGTTGTTATAAAATAATAATAAATTTGTAAATTTTTAAAATACATCCACGCTTCCATAGATAAATTTCAACGATTAACAAAGAATGCCAAAAAAGTTTAGGTCTTTCAACTTCAAGAAGTTAGTTTGGTTTTTAGTTAAAGAATACATATAGTAACTTTACTAAATTACCAAATAAAGAGGTGTTTAGATCACTTTTTAAATGATCAGATTATAAAAGTATTTAGACCAATTTTCGTTTGTTACTGAAATCATTATAATAGCACGCTATACTTTTATAGACAATACTATATTACTATTTCTAGTGACTATAATAGTCACCACAAACTATTTTTAATTTGGTTTGTAGTATATGTGTTTATATTTATATAAGTATATATATTTCTTTATTTTCTAATAAAGTTTATTACAAAGTACAGGGATATAATTATGAAATAATATAATTACTAGTTATATTAGTTATTTTAGTTTATTTAGTTGTATTAGATATTAGTTATTTTAGGTACTATAAAATAGAGAAAATCGTTCGTGATGAAGAAAAATTATTGGTGTTAAGTTAGGTTACACCGGCAATCGAAAGGAGCCATTTAGGCCTATTGGCCCACTCTATTACCGTATAAAAAAGCTCAGAGGTTTGAATACCACCTTGAACTTTTAGCAAAGTTTAAAATGCTATTTACTGGGATGTCTTGAAGTTGGACAAGATCCTTAAAAAAAGAGAATCCTATAATAAGTGTTGAATCCAAAAAAAAGTCCTTAAGAGATACACGAAATTTTTTGAACGTTTTTGCTATAGAGATTATTACTGACAAAAATTTAACAAATATATATAACACATTAATTACTACAATTAACTATTTCTTTCTCATTTTACTATTTATAAAAGCTTACGATTTCTATGTGCGATCAATTTGTCAATCCATTTTTTGTCAGTGAAGATAAGTATATGCAGACTTATCATTTATATAACTGCGCGTTTACACTTGTTAAACTTTGGCAAGATTTTTATATTCGAAAGCAAATACGTATTATTTTTGATTTTTCTCTGGGGTGCTAGGGTTCTCTAGAGTTAGATAGAGTGCTATTGAATCACTATCTACAGTAACAACTTTTTCTAAAAAGTATATTATTTTTAACCACTTTGCATTGTTATTATGCTATTCGATTAATTAGTTCATTATTCGAAATCGTGTTTAACACAATTGTTTACTGTTTTTTAAATTAATACAGATATCAATAAATAAAATAAAATTAAATAAAATATAAAATAAAATTAAATAAAATATAAAATAAAATTGAAATTAAAATAATGAAAATTTAATAACAAAAAAAAAAAAAATTAAAAAAAAAAATAAAATAAAATAATTTACATATGAATTCAATTAATACAGATATCAATGATATACAATAAAATGAAATGTATATTAAAATATAAAATAAAATGTAAAATAAAATGTCAAATAAAATATAAAATAAAAAACTAAATGAAATATAAAATAAAATATAATATAAAATAAAACAAAATAAAATAAACTAAAATACAATAAAATAAAAAAATAAGAATAGAATAAAAATAACACATAAAAAAAATATATAATAAAATTTAAAATAAAGTAATGTGACTACAAGAAAACAAAAAACAAAGAAAAATAAAATATAAAATCAAATATAAAATAACATATAAAATAATATATAAAACAATATATAAGATAAAATATTAAATGAAATATGAGGTATAATAATATATAAAATATAATAATATATAAGATATAAGAAAATAAAAGAAAATATAATGTGAAATGTTAAATAAAATAATATATAAAATAATACATAAAATAAAATATGAAATAAAATATTAAATTTAAAATATGTAAATGTAAAATAAAATTAAAATGAAAATAATGAATATTTATTAAAAAAAAAAATAAAACAAAATTACATATAAAAGTTGGGATATGTAAATAGCATTTGATAATTATTGAACATTTTCTATAAATCGGGTGTGTATATCTTACTTCCACCAGGACGAAATTTATAATGTTCCTGTGTACGTCCCCATGTAATCGCAGTAATAATACGCCAACGTGAACAGCTTGTGCAGCTGCTCTTTAATTTCAAATAATCCTTAAATAATATACATATATAAGTTATAAGCTTAAATGGTTAAATTATTTTATAATTTTACTTTCATATAATTTAAGATTTCATCTTGCTTCTCCTGCTTAGTGTAACGTATGGATTCCCATTCTTCATCAGATATTTCACCATAAATCGACTGCTCTTCGTGTATCATACGTGATATTGAAGTTACGAAAGCCATTGACAGTTCAGCAATTGTGCAGTTTATTGAATGCTAAAAAAGCATATATACTTACAATCAGCCGTAATTGATATAAACTTAATAAAATCAAGAAGAAATTGTTTTACTAACCACACAACTTGGGTCTGTTTCATTCAAAGCAAACGCTATATTAGTGCCTTCAGCTAAGTTCTGTGTAACTATAGCTGGATCGAAACTTTTGTATGTTTGCTCATCGCCCAGAATTATGAAAAACCATTGATTGTTTATATGGAACATCTGCATGCTATCAGCAATTTCTATGATCTCGTCATGAAATTTTGATACTATCAAGAACTGATGATGATTCTCAGTTGGTTTGTATGTAAATGGCGCTAATGCATTTCTGATCGCTTGACGTCTTTTCTGACCGCGCAGTGTGTCGTCGATTGTATACAGTAGGACTGATATTGGTGGTATGCGACTCTGACTACTCTCAAGTACTACTGATTTAATCAAATTTGTATTTTCAGTCACTGTATTTTTAAGAACAAACATATTAAGTTTTTATAATAATTCAATTTATGCGAAGTATTTACATATAGTTTGGTCCAATAAGACAACAGCTGTTTTCCATTTTAGTATTTGTTGCATCTTAGAGTCCAGTAATATCTGTGAAAACTCTTCTCCATTGTTTACAATGGGTATCTATTTTAAATATAAATTAAAAATATCAAATTTTGGAAACTAGAATTGAGTTATGTTTAAAATAAAGATAGGGAGCCATTAAGCCACTTTTTAGTGGTTACCCACGAAAGAATATATTCCCGTAACCACTTTTGTGGTTACCCAAGAAGGATATCTCCAGAATATCTTGTATTTCTTCTTTTAGTTAATAATGTCTTTAGTATTTATAGTATCGTTTTGTAAATTGTCCTAACAGAAACTTGTAGAATTTATACCGATAAACTGACAGATCTTTTAACGACAAATAAGTTAGGAGATTAGGAGAGATTATTAAACAATTTTTTGGTTTTTAATCTATAAGCTCCCTTCGAATTTTTGAGGTTTGTAACGCTAAGTGATGATGACAAATGGTTAAAACAAAAATTTCATTGCTATTTTAATTTGATTTGATTGAGTTCAAATATATAATTAATATACGAATATCAATAATTAATATAACATATTTTTTCTACTTACCATAATGGCGCGGTTAAGTGGTAAACGAGGACAATCGGAATCTGTTATAGCTATTAGTAGAATGGATGAGAGATGAGTTGCTTCGTAGAATTTCCACGTGTTCTCGCAATCAGTCACAGTCATAGCAGCAAGAAAGTCTTTATAAAAAAATGATATAAAATTAAAATTAAACATTAAAATATGTTGTACTTTTATTTTAATGAAGTACACAGTTTGAGTATATTTTAGCTACTATTTTTATTTAAAATAATGTTGTGTTTTTATACAAAAATATTTTAAGACTAATTTCTACATCAAGGTTAAATTATTATGATTTTAGTGGACTGTATTACATTTGTCAAAAAAGGTTAAAAAAGGACGGAAGTCCCAACACTTGGGATTTTCCTCCTATTATTTTTATGAATATATTTTATTTTAATAATTTAATATGGTTGCTATTTATCTATATTTTTCCTTAGTACATTATTCTAAGAATTTAGGTGATAATATAAACTATAGTAATATGGTATAAATTCATGTTCATGATTGAACATTCTGCCGGAGGTCAAACTCATGTTCGTGATTGAACATATGTTGAGCGAGTTTATGTTAGAACAGCAATAGTTGATGATAAAAAAGTTGCATTTTTAGTTAAAATTCACTTACTAACATTTATTTATTTGCAAGTATATATATACGTTATTTTTTAAGTTCCGAAACCTTTATGGGTCAACTGTTTATGATTTCTATATTGGTAGAATTTTGCTTTTCAATATATAATGCTGTTTAATATATAAGCATGGAGACTAGGTTTTGCATTAGTCTATTGCAAAACTCTCCTATCTGTTCTATCACTCTGACCATTATATGCATCAGAAAGCGTCTATCTATCATAAGCTCTCATTTCCTTAACTGTTTATTTGACATCCTTAATATGTAATTTAAAAAATTACCCACCTTATTAAAGTGATGAAGTGATTGTTACATAGTCAAAAATATGTGTATCTCCGTTCAAAATTCCTTCAGTCAGCTAACATTGCTTAGAATTGTTCTACGATAGCATAATAAGCTCACTTTTTAAGGCCAAGTAAGTCTGTTTTATGTCAGACTGACAGTTACTGACTTTTATCTTTTTATATATGTATCTGTTTTTTTTTCTATCTATATATTTATCTATCTATCTATATATTGATCTATCTATCTATATATTTGCTTATCTATATATCTATCTATTTATCTATCTGACTATTTATCTATTTATCTTTATTTATCTATCAATTTACTTATCTATCTATTTATTTATTTATCTATTTACCTATTTGTCTATTTATTTATATACTTATTTATCTATTTATCAACATATTTACTTATATATTTATTAATTTGTCTATCTCTTTATTTATTTACTTATTTATCTATTTAACTATTTACCTATCTATCTACTTATCTATTTATCCTTGTGTGACTGGATAATTATTATTATTTCTAGGGATTTGAAAAAATTAATTCTTGAAAATAGAAATTGCTAGCATAAGACTAAAATAAATAAAGACTTCAGTCGTTATTATTCATATAGAAAGTACTACTAATAAATAAATTGATCACGTATTGATTGTATTTATATAATCTTAGTGTATATGTTTCAGAATTTGTATTGGTTGTACCATCACTTCCTTCTATGTGTGGGCATCTTGTCTGTGTTTATCTTATTTTCTGTGGTTCTACGATAAGTCTTAACTTAGTCTTCACTTATTCATAATTCAATTTTAAGAACTCTAATAAGTTGAAGTCTCATGTCTATCGCCATTATGTTGTGTTATATTGCCGACAATTTTATAACTGCTTATTTGTTTTATTCTTAAATTAACTCAATAATGTTTTACCTGGTTTTAATGGTTTTTAATATTTAACCGTGATAATTCAGCATACCTTTCTTTAAACGTACTGCATTCCAGTTGAAGTATTTAACATTAATGCCACCGTTTTTTAAGTTTTCTCGGATAATGTCACTGAGAATTTTTTGAAAGCTTGCTAGTATATTTTCTCCACGTTGTTGCATGTATTCTTGATCAACCACAACGGCTATAAGATATATTTTATTATGTTATATTATATTTGTTTAATCGATAACATGTAATATTTTGTTGAAATTATTCTTTATGAAATCAAAATTTGTTTGAACGTATGTAAAAGGTTTATAGCTATTGATTCAAAATCTGATTTTCAGAAAAAAAATTACAGATAAATGTTCATGTTCTTATATATTTATTTTAAATAATTAAAAATCTCTGCAAACGCATATATAAGTTTTAAAAAATTTGTGTTACTTCAAAGAAAAGAAAAAATTATCGAAGGCCCACCACCATGTCAGATAAATATAGTCATTGTTAATCTGTTTTGAGAAGTTTAATCTAAATCCAGTTATAACTCAAAACATGATCTATTGGGCAAATGCTAATACCTTATCTCAGTTCTTAGAGATGTATGTAATATATTGGTTCAGTTGGAAGCGCGTTTGTGGCATTCATAACAGGGTCCATTGTCATTCATAATATGGGTTCGTAAATATTTTTTATTTATTTATTTATTTTGGTATCAAGTTATTCTTTTTATCTTTTATTTTATTCATCTTCTCTAGCAAAATTGCCTTATTAATTATGATTTCACAGTTTGTAAATATATTGAAATCTATTTAAAGTAATGAATCTATCTCACTTAACCAGCTGTATTGTTTTTCAGTAGAAACATAACTTAAAAGCGTTATTATTTTTTAGAAAATTGAGCTCAAAATTGATGAAATAATTTTTGACACTTTCGAGGTAGATACTCACTCAGTCAGTGTTTTAATTATTTATTTAAGAATAACATATGAAACTTCTTGATATGACAATCACCAGAATTAACTAGTTGATGATAAAATATTTTTTTCTCCTAAGTGGAGCGAAGAGCCTTAACTAGTTGATATCAAGACATTATTATATTTTCATTCTATTATATTTTTTCAGCATCGTTTTTCCTACTTCATATCGTTTCGAATGTACTTGCAATATATGTCTCCTATATAGTTATTAGTCATTGAGTGAATCTAGCGGCAGGAAATTACCTGCGTAATCAAACTGTGGTTTGTATGCTTTCATCATCTCTGATGTCGGTTAAATCTTCATTTAAAGTCCTAAAGTTATATTTTGATGTTTGAAAAATAAATTTATTCCGAAGTAGAATATTGTATTTGTTTCTGATATTCGAAGCCTTTGCAATAAATTTAAAAATTTTACAAAGGTTAGACAATCCTAACCTATCCTATCTAGAGTAATCCTAAGAATCTATTAAGGTATGCTAGACCATTGTGTTGTCATACAAATTTAGGACGGTTTTAAACTATTTCCAGCTTTTAATAGAATCTAAATTGTTCTTCAGGGGACGCACAGTGTTAATTGTTGTTAATATTGACCAATAACTTGTATGGCAGATGAGCATAAAAATAGGTAGACTACGGCCATACTTTTGAAATTTCTTACTATCTTCAACATTTTTCCCCCATATGCGAAATTTCAGTAAAATCGCTCAACATTTACTAATATTGGCCGTTGATCTAGTTACACTGTGTGACGTTTTTGCAGTTGACTACAATCTTCTATATAATAAGATTATTACACCCTAATATGTATGATCTATGATCTATGCATGTGTGCTGGATAATGATCAAACAGATGTGAATCACTTTCCTCATCTTTAATACAGTTGTGATTGAATGGAATATTTAATTTGCTATGACTTCCTGATACAAATTGACTCGTCATCAATTCTAGTGTCTGCCGACGGGCTCGCAATAATACTCGTATTAATTAAAATTAATTAAAATTTAATAAAAAAATGAATTTAGTAAACCAATAAGTGGTTTTCTGTTAGACAAAAAATTAAAAGTTTGGGACTCCCCAAGTCATTTGTCTCTGAATACCTAAATTTTAATTTTATTTATCATAATTTGATTAGCAATAATATGAAAGAGGCCTCGCAAAGCTAATGGCGCGATCCCCACGGTTGGATTAGCACCAGTGACGGTAGATCCTAATACTATATGAAACAGATATATCTAGGTGACATCGCAACGACATCGCTAGAAGAGTGAATATGCGTGTAAGTTACTGTAAATCATTGATCTAAAGATGAATTTGTGTGCAGATGTCTGCAAATCGTTGAACGTTACATCTTCTATACTTAACGTAATTTTTCGTTAAATATTTTTATAAAATTTTTTATTTTATTTATTCTTCTCTAATTCCTCTTTAATTATATTTTATTTCATACACTTCCACAAAAAAGTTTCACAAAAATCCATCACAATTCCATCAATAATTTTCGATTTACCCAATGAAGCGTTTGCACTCAAAAATGATGAAAAATCGTTTGCCTCAGAATGACCGAATAGAATCGGTGCTATAACCAAAATTGATACCAATTGAAAACACTTCATAACGCCACGAGGTTCAAATGAAAACTAATGCAATTGGAACTTTATAAAAAGGATATTTGGTTTGGTAAAATGTTACCACATTTGGTATTCTAATACAATTAATTTCCGATTGATTTTGCGTGTGTAAAAATATAAATGCGCTAATATCCTTGTTGATGGTGTGATGAAGTATTTCATGAAATTTTAAAGCCTCAAACTAGAGAAATCCTCATGTGATATGAGGTGCACTGATTGTTTACAACTTGATTGACATTTTGTGGTTTTGCTATTGAAATACCAAATTAACTGCAGGTGTCCTGAAATGCAGGGGCGGTTTTGTTTTCAATTGAAAGGAAGTACATTGCATGATAATCAATTATCATTGATTTTGATATGAAAAATTTTTAATTGAAATTGTTAACCGCTAATAAGAGGTCCTTATATTGAAATAAAACAGTAATTAAAAATATTTTAAATTAAATCGTAGTTAATTGCTTATTTATGAAAATAATACAATAAATATATCAAAATACATATTTTATTGTATATTTTATTTTATTTTTTTTTTGAAATATTACAAACTTAAATTAATATTATGATTACAATAAATTTAATTGTTATATAAATTTGTATATAATCGTTCGTATTTTGCCATTTTGTTGAAATCTCTGTAGATAATTAATTTAGTTAATTGCACCTTCACAATGTCTCATTTAGGCGGTTTTGCTCATTATATATATATATATAATGCGGACGATTAACCATTCAAAGTGTTTTCATATAAATGAGCGTATTAACAATACATAAATCAGCTCATTTAAAGCGAAAAATGTGGAATGCCACCCTTAAAAATAAATTTCCCACAATGAAAATTTCCAAAAATTTAAAATATATATTTTATATGTAAAATGTAAACAAACAACAGCTGAGCTGTAAACAAACACACTGAGAAAATAAATATTAATAAAATAATATTTGTTTATATTAATTGAATATGTAATAGATAAATAAAATATATGTAAGTAATATATATAAATGATTTAATATGTGAATTATATATTTAATTTTTTTTTGAGTGATATATTATTAACTAAATTTATAAAAGTTTATAGAAGTTCTACCAGTTTTATCAGCAGTTCTATTATAAAGTGAATGTTCACTCATTAATATAAATGAGTGTTCACTCATTAATATAAATGAGCAATTATCTAAATGAGGCAGTGCGAATGTAGACTAAAATTAGATTCACACTAGAGTTTTGATTATAATTTTTGCAGTCATTTTAATTTATTCTTGATTTCGATAGCAAAACAAGTTCGAATCAAGAAAATTTGTATGAGAATTTTGACAGTTGAAAATCGTAATTAATTGTAATTTCTACAAAATCAAGTTGATTTAACTTGGACAGTTCATCGTAGTACAGTATTATGCAGTACAAACTTGTGCTATTGTAAATAGTTTTGACGAATGAATGAAATTTTCATACAAAAAAACAAAATTTTGATTTGAGATGTTAGTTTAAAATTTTTAACAGCTAAAATTACAAACAAATCTCTCGTCTGAATCCAGTATAGGACTATATTAAGGGCGTGTGCGAGTTAGGCTAAGTTGATGCTAAACCAAATGGGACATTTTTTGGGATTTTTTGCACTGCACACATTTAGACATTTATCAACACGCATCGACACATCACCACATTATCGGCACAACTTAGAATTTCCCTCATTTAGAACGCAACTTAGCCTAACTCGCACACGACCTTAGTTTATAATTTTATATTTTTCAATTATAACATTTTTTAATAGCATTTTAAATTATCTTAATATTCAGCATCAGTTTCTATCTCTATTTCCGAATTAAACAAATATTACTAAATAAAAAAATGTGATAATCAACAGTGTAAATTCTTAGGTCGTGTGCGAGTTAGGCTAAGTTGCGTTCTAAATGAGGGAAATTCTAAGTTGTGTCGATAATGTAGTGATGTGTCGATACGTGTTGATAAATGGCTAAATGTGTGCAGTGCAAAAAATCCCAAAAAATCTCCCATTTGGTTTAGCATCAACTTAGCCTAACTCGCACACGTCCTATATCGAGAGTCTACTGTACTTTGTTGTCTAAATTGTATCTTAAATTCGAACTAGACATTTTTTCGTTTTAGTTTAAAAAAAAATAACGATTAAAAAAATCGGTTGAGTTTTGGGTTTTTGTTCCAATAAAAATAACGCTTTTTTCGGTTGATTTCCGAGTGAATATTTTTTATGTAATATTGTAACAATTTATTGTTCTAATTTTAATCATTTCACTCATTATTTTGAAAGAACATACCAAACAAATTTATTTCATAAAAAAAATTTTAGGTTATAAATAAAAACTTTTTTTTTAAACTTCAACTTATCATACATTGAAGTTTTAGCAACTGTAGAGGTTTGCGGCTAAAGAGACAGGTACTGAACAGAATAAATATTAATAGCCAGGTTACGGTTTTTACTCTAATAGATTTGTGGCATTCTTTCGGTTTTTGGTTCAGTTCTGGTTCAAATCCTTTATTCTAATTTTACATAATACTATAAATTATTATAATATATATTATGTATAATATATTATGATATTATATCGAAATTGATTTAAGATTTTTTTCAACTTTGTATATAAAATTATTATATTTAATTATTAATTATATCTAATTATATTTATTATGTATGCAAAATATTAAATAATTAAATGTTTATAACATTAAAAAATAGTTTTAATTACTAATTGAACATATACTATATCGGTTTTTTTGGCTAATCATATACATAATCATCTATATGTTTGTTATAAAGAAATTTTTAATTGATTGATTTGATAATAATGAAAATAAGAAAATATTATTAAATTTACTTATATATTAACTTTTGTTAAAATATTTAAAAAATTTATTTTATTAAAATAGAAAATTTAAAGAATCTAATCAAAATATAAAAATCTGATCTAATTATTAAATTATAATTAAATTATTATTTAACAGTAATTATTAGAAATAAGAACAAAAATAAATCAAGTACAATATATAAAAAATTGTGATAAATATTAAAAACAGATCAAATAGATAATACTATTATTTAGTTAGAATTAGAATTCAGAATTAAAAAAAAAAATAAAGTTAGTTTAAAGTAAAAAGAATCCAAACTAAATAATAAAAACTAGATAAAAATTAAGTAATGATAATTAATTAATAAAACTATATAATAAAAAGTGTATTTCGTGATCTATAGCGCCAACTTCGATTTATATTGGTTTAAAGGGATAATTTTTAGTTTTCGCCATTTTGTTTCCTTTCTATTTAATACCATCAGTGATAGACATAAATACGATTTTACTTTTTCGTTTTTTTTTTTCAAAAGAAATACTGGTCTGATTATACCAGTTCAGTATGTTTGCTTTTTGTTCCCTTCCTTCAATAGGTTTATACTCTTATACCTTACAGACTTATGTCCTGTAACCGTTATCAGGTTTCTAATTAAAAATCGTATAAAATTATTTTCGAACAACCAATATATATAAATTAATTAATAATAGTGCAATTAGTAAAAATATTATGTTTAAATAATAAACACAATAAAAGGATATGCTTCAATGAATTAATTATGGTTAATACTATTTTAACGTTAACGTTAAGTATATTCGATCCATGTATATCACTTTTAATCCTAAATTTTTGTATTTATCAGTTCCTAATGATTTGTATGTATATGCAACGTTAATTATTTACTATCTTTATTAAAGGAAAAGTAATGAGTAATGATTAATAGTAATACTAATAGGATTATTATTTGTAGTCATTAATAATAGTAATAAGAGTATTATTATTAATTGTCATTTAGTTGACTAATAGTCATAAAAGCTGACTAATAGTTATAATAATAAATGATAATAGCCATTGTGTTTATTCTTTTTTTATTATATATATTTATCGAATTGTAAAAATTATATAGTCCGCAAACCACTATTATAAGCACCATCACGTATGAAATTCTATTTTCGTCTTAAGTGATATTATTTATTGGGAGAATATTGGTAACATATCGGAGAATATATTGCAGAACATATAAAAAATTTTTCGAAAGAGATGACAAATACACAGACTTATATTTGAATATAAATACAGAGAACTATTTAATTTAGTTTAAAAAATATTATCATTGTATTTGAAAAGTTGTTTAAATCGCAAATTGGATTTTATTGTAGCATAATAAATAAGTAGATTAGGTCACGACAGCGATCCCAGATATCTATTTAAGCCTATAATTCATAGCGTTCCCCAATAAAAAATTTGAAAACTATTCTATACCTTGGAATGCTTTTTAAGCAGGGGTCTTGTAACTAACTAGGTTCCTCTGTATATTAAGTTTTTAATGTGTTTAAAATAAATTAGTAAGTAAACAAAAAGACAGAGACACTTACAGATCATTTGACCCACTTTAATAACAATTAGTTAGATTTCTTAATAAAGATAGCTTCTGTCGAAGAGTACCATATCTGATTTGTGTTGAGGGAATATGCTGTGTTCCTAATGTCCGCTTTATAATTCATTTTAGAGTTAGACAATTGTATTAAATATGTGAAGTTTTGTTCTTCTGTAGACATATATGATTGTATAATAAAATTTCCCACTGAACAGCATTCCAAGCTTCGCCAAAGGTTGTAGGTGGTTTTGAAGTTTTCTTTATACACGGTTACTTAATGGGTCAATAGCCCTAAGAGGATCCTCTAAAGATCGCCAGTATAACCTAATTTCATCTATGATTATATAACTGTTGCTAAATATATTTATACTAACATATTAGTAAAGTTCAATCCTGAATTTAAAAAGAGATAATTACAATTCGGTGGAACTATACTACTTTTGAATAGGTATATCCTGAAATATTGCCTCTAATATTATTAATTAATATTTATATATATATGTATATTATTAATATTATTATTATTATTAATATTATTATTATTATTAATATTATTATTATTATTATTATTAATATTATTATTATTATTAATATTATTATTAATTATTATAATCACTTCACGGGTTCTTTATATTTAATATGCGACATGTCGTAAGGACCAGTTACAATAAATAGAGGTTGAATTAGTTGACATAGAAATATGCAACTACAAAATAGCCAAATAGCGATTAGTTGTGCCGTAACATAAACAAATTCAATTCGACTGATATAATACAATATTTCAATGTATATAGTCATTTGAAGAGACAAAGACAAGGGAAAATTTTGAAAAGGCTGTAGGAGGTAGCTGCTTTTGGAACCTCATAATAGAATCATATAGTTTGCTCTTAATTCTCCACTAGATATTTTTACCTTTTTAGCAAAAGTAACTAGCAAGTGTTGACACTTTTTGGAATCAGAAAGTAAAAGTTGATGTTTAGATTAACTTTTGTGGAATTTTCTAGAGTTTACAAGGTTGACAAGAAACAAGTTTTGGAATTTTCTGTCTTAAAAAATTATATATTATATATTAGTATCATATTTAAGATATGGTACTCTCAAAGCACAATGCTTTATCTGTAAAGATTTTTGAATAATATATTGGATACAAAGTGTACGCAAAAAGTTTGATCATGTGAGACAGAGAAGTTATTGATTAAAATTTTTTTTTTAACTTCATAAGTGTATTTAATAGTTTGAGAATCAGTACATATATGACTATTTGAGTTATATAATATATTTATTATATTGTATGATAAGCTTAATTTTGAAGAAAAGCTTAGTGGCTTAGTACACCATAAGATTGTTGCACATGACTGTGACAATTGTTTTCTAAAAAAAAATAAATTATTTTTCACAGTGTATTTAATTGCAATACTTCTTAATCCCACTTTTATTATAGAAGAGTTATATTTCATACGTCGACACCGGTAGGGGTACGTGAAGTCTTCAAATATTTAAGGGCTGTATAGTGGGTATTTGGAAGTTTGTAAGAAATAGTTAGTAAGAAATAGTTGAAAGTAAAATATAGTAAAATACTAAAAGTAATAGTAAAAGTTTGTTTATATTTCAAAAATAAAAACTAAACGTTTTTGTTACAAGTGTTTTTTTTTTAATATTAAAAGTTTTAGCATTACTATCGTTAATTACTAGTCTAATAACATAAAAAGGAAAATACTTAAGGTCTATAGATAACATAATAAGGAAATTTAACAATTGTAATAGTTAGCATTCATTACATTTTCTTATTCATATAGAAGTACATAAGTATGTAAATAAAATATTAGAATATATTTTTTTAAACATTGTATATGTGTATATATGTTCGCCTCAATACAGGTTAGTAATGATAATAAGTATATTGTATATTGAATGTACATTTTTAAGTAAAAAAGATTTTTTTTTATTAATACTTGTTTATTTTTTGCGCTATATCTATAGAAAAAATTTCGAGTATCTTCTGGAAATTATGTTCCCTTTGCTGATCAAAATTGGGTTATGTTTTGAATATATATGTTCTAATATATAATTTTTGTTATAGATAGATTTAAGAGATGTGTTTTTATAAAATGAAATAAAGTTATTGTTTGAGATATATTTGTATATATAATGTATTCTTCATAAAAAATCTATATATATAAAAAAAAATTCGTTTAATAAGCTAAAGGAGTACAAAAAAATGTCTGCCACCTGAAAAGTACCGTATTGTGAAATGAAATTTTACGGCTCTATATATTTTAGAGTCCATAAAATCTTTCGTTAATGAAACATCAAAAAAAAAGTACTAACTTTTGATTACTGGTTTTTGATTACATTCTTTAAAATTAAAAAAAAAATTAACAAAAATAAAATTCTTTAAATTTATTGTTTCGTTTTAATCGTAACCCATTTCGCTTGGGTTTACGATTTTTCTCATTCATGAAGTATTGCACTTAATCGCTCCTCCACTGCTACTTTTCTAGACTTCCACACAAATTCACATACGGCAATCACACAAGCTACACCCATACCGCCCATTAGTACTACGAATACTCCACCCACATTCGCTAAACCCAATTCATTTGCCGCTGATGATGATTTAGAAGTTTCCACACGGCAATTACCACCTCCGCGTTTTTCCTTCCACCATCTAGTTTTCAGTATGTGCAGTTTACCTTCTTCTTGCAATTTTAGAATAACACCGTTTATAGCCGTACGATAAGGCGAATCTATATTAAAAAAATATAAGTGTATTATAATAAATATTTGCACAAATAATTTATTACAGTTCAAATTACTTGGTGGAGTGGCTATGCCATAGCTCTTTGTGTCCAACATGCCACCCACTTGAGTGAGCTCACAATTACGTTCTGTCACGTATTCAATAGATGTTGACTCCATTAAGAAAGCGTAAGTGCCTGATTATAGTGAAAAAAAATATAAAAATTTGACATAAAAAGTAATGACAGATATCAACATATACTATCTATGTATGCTATATATACATATATATTTATATTAAAATACCTTTGCCTTTTACTACACGATCTACACCTTCACCATTACTCGAGGTAAATACGGAAGGTCTTGCGGAGTCCATAAATGACCACATTCGTTGATATGTTGAGATTTTAGAATCCTATTAAAAATGATTTCTATTGTAAATGATCTGTTTCTTAATTGTTATATTTAACATACCCTAAAGAAAGCGGCTGTGCTGCCACCTTTAAGTGCTCCGTACTTTATACGTGTCTGCTTCGCCAAATCTTCAGCACTTTCGATTGGAGAATCCATACGTTCCACAGTCAGAAATGCTGCCAAGTTAGCAGTGTATGAAGAAATCATAATTAATGTGAAAAACCACCACATGCCAGCTACCATACGTGTAGATAAAGCTCTACGGAGTTAAATAAATATATTAATTAATTAACTAAATCACTATATTAGTACTGTAGTCACACTAACTTTGGTAAGAAATCGCAACCTTGTTGCATCAGTGATCCAATAGCAAACCACATACAATTCAGTAGAGTAAATTGACTTTCCACTTTTTCACCATGTGCATCCGCATATGCTGGCCACTCATATGGCGTAAATCTTTAATTTATAATCATATATATTTCGTCTAATTATATATATATTTTACAGCTGTTAAAATACCTTGCCAAAATAAAAAGTAAAACTGATACACCCAAGTACGCTGTAGCCATATAAATCCAAACATCTAAAGATAATGGTGATAGGAATGAAAAAAGATTTGGTGGTTGCTTCACTGGTTTTCTATATAAAATTGAAACTCCTAAATTCATAAAAGGCATAGTGAAGTCTACTGCCTGCTCTCGTTCAAATGTAATGGTTAAGTCCGCTATTGCAAGATCTGCTCTTTGTTCCAGTAGTTCGCGTATCATACCGTTCCATTCACTGTGTAGAGAAAAACAATGTAATAAATTTGGAATATTATTAGATATATTTACAGACCCTGTTTGTTTGTTGAAACTGCCATAGCTACCGTCTGGTACCAACTGAATTTTATAGTTGAAACCAAGAGCAAGCGATATTTCATGTATAAGATCAACAGCGTATCCCTCAAATTGATCATTTCCAGTTAGTGGTACTGAGGATTCTTTACGCATACAATAAGGATTACTCTGTAAGGAACAATTTTAAAAAAATGTTAATTTATTGTTTTTGGAAAGATAGTTGTTTCTATCTATTAGTAGTTGTTTTTAAAAAATTAAAAAAAGTGCAAATTAAATGAATTATTCTTTTTCAACTATTTATTAAAAAACTTGTACATTTTATCAGTATAATTTATCAGTATATAATTGGGTTAGACTATATTATTCTAGCTGGTCGTAAACCACATATGGACTTTATAGGTTCAAAGCAATACCAATTCCAGGAAAGCCTCTTTATAGATTTGTAGTACCTATCATTTGTAGTATGATGACGACGCTTTATGCAAATATAAGGATGCTTAAAGTTTCATTCCAGAGATGTACTCCAGAGATGTACAACACAGATCATAAACATAAGTGGTATCACAAAATCTCAATTTTTCAGTATTTATCTATTTATCGACCAATTTATTACAATGAATTTTAGTGTATTCCGGTGTCGATACTTGGAATACTTTTTCTTTAATACTCATATTAGTTTATTTAACTACATTATATATTTGAATCTATTTAGCACTAATTTTTTTTTTGTATATATATAGAAGTGTTTACTCTAAAAGTTATGATCACATTTTTGACAGCCTATTACTTACTTACTTACTTACTTACTTAGTTGGCTATTACAGACGTGTGTCGTCCTTGGCCGCGTCGAGTAGCCTCCGCCAGTCAGCCCGATTAGTTGCTTTCTGACGCCAGTTGGTAGTACCGAGCGCCCCCAAATCGTTGGTCACCTGGTCCTTCCACCCAAGATGCGGACGTCCTCTACCGCGTTTTCCACCTGCGGGTACCGAATCAAATACCTTTCTAGTCGGAGCACTTTCTTCCATTCGCACAACATGACTAAGCCAGCGTAGCCGCTGAATTTTTATGCGCTTAACTATGTTAATATCGCGGTATAGCTCATACAGCTCATCGTTCCATTTTAATCGATACTCGTCGCCAACGCGTAAGGAACCATAGATCTTCCGAAGAATTTTTCTCTCGAATGCTCCTAACGCCTTCTCATCACTGTTGGTAATTGTCCAAGCTTCTGCACCATACAGCACGACAGGCATGATAAGGTATTTGTAGAGCCTGATTTTTGTTTGTCGAGAGAGGGCTTTATTTCTCAATTGCTTACTTAGCCCGAAGTAATATTTGTTGGCAAGAGTAATTCTTCGTTGAATCTCTAGCCTGACGTCATTTTTGGTGTTTAAGCTGGTTCCTAAATAAACGAAGTCTTTCACAACTTCGAACTTATAATTGTCAACAGTGACGTAGGTCCCAAGACGCTCAGGAGATTTGTTTGTTGACAGAAAGTACTTTATTTTGTCCTAATTTACCACAAGACCCATTTGTTTTGCTTGTTTTTCTAAGTTGGAAAATGCCGCACTGACGACGCGGGTGTTCAGACCAATGATATCAATATCGTCGGAATACGCAAGCAGCATTACACTTTTTTAGAATATTGTGCCAGTACGGTTTAAATCTGCTGCTCGAATTATCGTTTCCAACATTAGGTTAAAGTAGTCACACGACAAGGAGTCACCCTGTCTGAAACCTCGTTTGGTATCAAACGGCTCAGAGATGTTCTTTCCAATTCTAACGGAGCTGGTGGTGTTGCTCAACGTCATTTTACATAGCCGTATAAGTTTTGCTGGGATACCAAATTCAGACATAGCGGCATAGAGTGTGCTTCTAGTCGTAGTGTCAAAAGCAGCTTTGAAGTCGACAAATAGGTGGTGTGTTTCGATTTGTTTTTCTTGAGTCTTCTCCAGGATTTGACGCACTGTGAGTATTTGGTCTAGAGTGGATTTGCCAGGTCTGAAGCCACACTGATAAGGTGCAATCAGTTGGTTGACGATTGGCTTCAATCTTTCACATAGTACGTTTGATAGAACCTTATATGCGATATTTAAAAGACTGATCCCGCGGTAGTTGGCGCAGTTTGCAGGATCACCTTTTTTGTGGATTGGGCAAAGCACACTTAAATTCCAATCGTTGGGCATGCATTCATCCGACCAAATGTTGCGAATTAGCTGTAGCATGCATTTTGATAGCTCTTCGCCACCAGCTTTAAACAGCTCAGCCTATTACAGTTGGTAAATTTGGTAAATACAAAAAAAAACTGATTATGTAGGGCAAAAAACCCATATGTCTCAGAATTGACAAATAGAAGAATAGTTTTGTGTCCCAGAAATACCTTCTTACAAATAGCTCTCAAGAACTCTGCAGTTTACGCATATCCTTGATATATCCTTGATTCCTTTCACTTTTTCACCAATGTTAACCTACGTTATAGTGTGGTAAAAACTTCTTTTAACGGATTAGACGGCGTGATTTGTAACCGAATTGAAGCTCTACAGCAAATCTGAACTCAATTGATATATCACTTCATCTCACAGAGAATGTCATACATACAATCAAACTACTTTCAATCTCCCCATTTCAAATGCCTAGTTTCTAAACGTAACTTAATTAATTTCTTCACATTTCCACTATTATTTCTAATGTACCCTTTAATGTATAACCCTTCACCTCATTTTCTGTACTTGTTATCCTCTAACTCTTTCTCATATCCTCTCATCCTAACGCTTTTTAAATCTTATCTATCTTCTATAAAATAATATAATTTTTTCATAAAAATGATCCACTCACCAAAATAGTAGTAACGATTAAAGTTTTATTCTTAAGGTTTGCTTCGATTTCTTTTTGCTTTTGACTGAAAGTACGAGTGAAATTTATTCCTTCCGGTAATGTAGAGTTCCATGTGCCAATTTTTCGTACGCCACCTGGTCCTAACTCTACAATATCAAGTATAAAATCTGTGCGAAAACCTTGATGATCGAATTTGATCACATTTGTCAATCCTTTCATTTCAACAATTTTCATATAATTGATTAAACTAAAACCATGTTGCCAAGTATTTTGTCCATCACAGCTTATTGGATGTATATCAATCTGCTGTGATGTATCCAAATCATGTAATGCTTTTGCAAATAAATGTACTGCATCATACATCAAAGCTGTCTCAGCCTTCACTGTGGACAAATTTGCTGAACGTAGTTGACCCTTCTCTTCGATGCTCCACTGACGTACCATATCCGAAACAATTTTATCGTTTATTAAACGAAAGCCTGTGATATTAGTACCACCATAACGGAACTCTTCAAGATTTACTGTATGCAGGTCAAGTGAGGTTATTAAATAACTATGATAATCACTCATCATGCCAACTTGTTGAGCTTGTTTGAGCACCTCATATATCTTCTCAGTTGTACAATCGAGCACAATATGTGCCTCTGCAGAATTTTTTATTTGTTTTAACAGAGGTCTGCAATTGTTGGGATTAGTATTACTTAAAACATTTGTAAATATAAAAATATCAAAAGGATTTACGTACCTGTAATCACCTGAATCACTTAGTTGGCGCACAGTAATGGGAAATGGTGAAGTACCGTGCGCTTTGAGTAACTCTTGTAAACGTACTATGCCATCATTACTCTCATAGATGATAGTAAAAGTTTTCCAACCCCAATACTTAACAATATCCACATAAGCCTGCGGAAATAAGAAGGATAATATAACAATAGTTGAAGGAAACATACTACAAAGCAAGTGTGCATTAGTATTTTACCTTTGATAATGTATTCGGATGTGGATAAAGATTGACTAGACAACTTTCGCGGCGCAAACGGTAGTCCCAGCGATTTTCCAAATGTGGTATCTGTAATAAAATATACGTGATTACTATTATCATTATTATTAAGGATTAAGTAGTTTAAGACTTTTGTATGCAGTGTAATCCTACCTCCATGTTGTCACAAATGCTTTGCACATGACTTGCGGTGTGAGAGGACTGCGGCCCGAATATCGCTGCCACTCCAATATTAAGTAAACCGCAAACTGCAAAGGAAAATTAAATCTCTTCAAAGACTTATATTTATGTTTATACATCTAAAGATAAACATATTTAAATAGTTTTTGTGGATAATATTATTCAAAGTTTATGTTTTGAAAGGACTATAAAGAAAGTATGTTAAGTATATTTTTATGCTTAAATAGTTTTTCTTCTTTGTATGGATTTTGTGTATTAAAAAGTTTGTGTCAATGAATTTCGTTTCAAGAGAAACTTAAATAGCATTTTTATTTAATATTTGCCAAAATCAAAAGAAAATATAAAGAAGTGGCTACTAAAAACTTTTATTTATTTTTATATATATTTTATGTTTAATCTTAATTTTTTTGTATACTTAATATTTAGTTTTGCAGTATGAAGTTGAGTTGCGAAAATGATTACATACTTACGGAAATAAAATATACAAATTATAGTACATAAAATATAATATATAAAGTATTGTCACCGATATTTAAGTCACGACTTAGATTTAAGCATAAGTAGCAAAAAAATTTTGTAAATAATTAATTATTACAGAGGCTTCGAATAGTAGTAAATTGTAACAACAAGAATTTTATAGTGTTGTAATTACTACTGTTCGAAACCTTTCTATTAAATTCAATAGTTTATATTAAGTAAAATAGGCCTGCAAATCATCATTATTATTATTATTAAATTTATGCTATGAATGCACCCCGACCTAATAGAGTAAATCGTCGTAATTGGTGTTAAAATCAAATTTAAAAAATTAGATTCAAATAATAAACTAAAGTTATAATTATTATATACGAGGGCGGTTTGATAAGTCAGTGACTTTTTGAATTTTCCGCGCAGTTACTCCAAATGCAACAGTGCTGCGTTTAGCTGTAATCTACCAGTGGGCAACTTTTTAATTTTGAGCAAGCTACGTCGTTCAGTTGGTGTTTGATAGCCGTTCAAAGCAGACAACATCGTGAATTTTTATGAAAATGGAAAAAAGTGAATTTCGTGTGCTGATTAAGCATTCGTGGCCAAAATCCACGAATTGGGATACGAACTGCTACAGCATATTCGCCAGAATTAGTCCCTGGGACTATTTTCTGTTTCCAAACCTAAAAAAATGGCTGGGCGGTAAGAGATTTGAGTCGAATGAAGAAGTCATTACCGAAACAAACGCGTATTTTGAGAGCTTTGAGAAAATCTATTATTTGGAGGGAATAAGAAAATTAGAAAAACGCTGGGTTAAATGTATCGAGCTAAAAGGTGATTATGTAGGAAAATAAAATGTTTATTTGCCGAAAAAAATTGTTTAAAAAAGTCACTGACTTATCAAACCGCCGTCGTATTATATATAATTCTTATATTTTATATATTATTTTATATAATTATACATAATTATTATATTTGCAAAAATGATAAAAATAATACATATACATATACTTTTTAAATATAAATTAACTATTTAACCAATCGATTTGAAAAGGTATTAAGTTTAAAAAAAGAGAAGGATATAGCTTTTAACTTATTAACCAAATGTTTTACTTATACATAAAATGCTGTTACTATTTAGATAGATCTATAGTGTTGAATAGGTCTATGTTAAGTCTAAAAATTTTTTTACTAAGGAGTATAAAAGAGGTCATAAAAACTGTGCTGTTGTAAAGTTCTTTACTCAATTTTGAAACTGGGACTGATATCATATTAATTACCCTTAGCAAATAAGATCATACTAACCTAATACCGATACACTATAAAACCATAAAATATATGAGTTGTCATTGAAAGATAGATTGAAATACTGTACTTTTAAAGAGTGGTCAGTCTGTTAATATTTGTATCGATAGTTAAAATATATCGGAAATACTTCTATACGTTTTTTATTATCGTACACTCTTTATCAATAAAATGGTTTCAGGTTACAGAACTAATGTACTGTATTACGAGAAAAAGGTGAATTTATTCCAGAGGAATATAAAATTGGAAGATTTAATATAACATAGTATAGCGCTGTCTATATTCGATACAAAATAAAAGCAAAATGCAGTTAAGTCATATCTAAGCGTAAAGACGATTAAGATTAGCTTGTTTCTGTCATACGATTTTTGATTAGATACATGAAAGCAAAAAACAACCTCCAAACATAGGTCTAGTTCAATCTAATATTACTTCAAACTGTAAAGCTATATCGGAGCATGAAAGAGATAATTCAGTCATTTATTTTTTTTTTGGTATGTACTTGCTAGAAATAACAAAAGCTGTATGATGTTTTCTTCCTTCGCTCAAACTATAACGACGGCTTCATTTTGAGAGAAAAAAGGCTTGTATCTTAAGGTAAAGGATCTTTTACCTTAAATATTCTCAGACTAAGTTTATTTTTCTAAACGCACGAATGGTTTGGTATGACTGCTGTTAAATATTTTTATTTAATTTATTAATAATAGAATATATGTGAACAAATTTATTTAATTTAATTAATTAAGAAATTATAAATTAGAAATTCTTAAAATTGCTGATTAACTTGATAGGTAATTGAATTTTACAACAACTTGGCAAAAATTGTTTCAAGCAATAAATTTTAGATCAACTTACTCGTATAGTTGATAACAGAATTATAGTATAAAGAGATTTATTGTTAGGTATGACATTTAGTTCATAATAAGTTCAAAACAATACTATGTATGCAATATAGAATTTTAGATATTTTTTAATAAATTGTTTTAAAATAGCTACGTAAACATATTTTTATACTCTAAATATGGTATATTTAGCATTCAAACGACCTTTTGCGCTCAGATTATTGCAATCAATCTTTTCTTTAGAAATAAATATGGATGAATTAATAATAAATATTTTTACAAATAAATCTAATTTATATATAATGTATTGTACAATATTTAATAAGAAATTTGATAAAATTGTTAGAAAATTCCTTTGGATTAGAAGTAAGTGGGAATGAAAGCCATCAACTTTAGAAAAACAAATCTATCTGATCATTTTAAGTTATCGTCAAATGTGATATCGTTATCCAATGAATATATATCATGCTGGTGTAGATTCACATATTTTATTTTATTGTCTCAGAAAGGCTACAGTCACCAAAAAATGCCCTGTACCATTACGGTATATAAAGATATATATGTTTTACTTTATAATTTATAAGCAGTCGCCATATGAAATAGTCGATATCGTTTTTAATTCAATAACCTATTATCCTCCTTAATTCATAATAATAGGTATAGGCTTTAGAGATGATTAAGCTTAGACAATTTATATTTTATTTTTAAAACATTTAAAATATTTTATTTTTAAAAGAAATAAAGGAAGGTTTCTGTTTTTATTTGACGATTATATTTCAGGACCATTTTAGCGATAACTTTTGTAGGTCGTCTTAGCGTATGAGCGATCCATTCAAATTCATGTTTTCGAAATTTCATGTTAATATTAATATAAAATTAATATAAATATATATATTATATTAATATAAAATTAATATAAAAGTTTGTTTTTTTCCATTGGTCTTCGTTGGATAACCACTCTGTTCAACTTCGAGGTATTTATTGTTCCGAATCTCGTATCGCAGTCGTAAAACAGTACTGACAAAAGACATGATTTAAAAATGGATATTTTAGTTTTGGAACTGTATTGTTTGGAAGATTAGATCTTATTCGATCGCGTAAGTGCACAGGAAGTCATATTTATACCTGTGTCAGTGTCTTTCTCTATACAACTGCTTGAGATATAATTCTTTATATCTTTCTTTTGAAAATTCAAAATTCTTTTGAATTTTTCTATTGCATTAGTCTACAGTTTCAAAGGGTTGTCAACTTTTATACTGATACGTATTTTTAGTTTGTTTTGAAAACATAAAATGTATTACAGAGAATTTACACTGCGTCCTAGAAAGCCATTGCCTCCCTTTCGCCAGATATAAATTGCTGTATTGAACCAGGGGTTTAAATTTTTACTGTTTCTTAGTCCTAGTCTTAGTTCTCTGTTTAAATATTTCTTAGTCATATATTTCATAGTCATACTGTTTCTTAGCGCTATGAGTTCGCAATTTTATTTTTTCTTAGTTCTTATGTCTTCACGGTTTTAGTGTCTACTAATCCTATGAATAGCTATATTATGAACCCTAAACTAGAATCTAGACAACATACGCCTTAAGTAACTTATTGAACGTATTTGAGTATATAAACGAGGACATTATGGTGTGATTCAGTAGCAATTCTTAAATCTAATTGATTGATTAGTTAATTATTAATTAATTAATAAATATTAATCTAATTATTAGTTTTTTAACTTTTTATAATATAAATATCATATTATATATACAAATATTTATTAATATGTAAATAATATTTAAGTTGATAGTAGTTTATTTAGTCTGTCTCTTCTAAATTAGTTTTCCGACTTACCTTTTTTGCCGGCATGAAAACTATCAAACGGCGAGATGCGCTCTATTTGCGCCACTAATTTTGACCGTGGCAAAATCAATCTATCAGCATTGATACGTTCAACAGCTTGTCGGAAGGCCAACTCCTGGTTGTCATCAGTGGGGTGAAATAGACCACCTGAAACAATGTTAGGTGAATACCGGAAAATAGACAATAAACAAAAACATTTCAGGCACGCGGGAAATTTTTTGTTTGTTTACTTATTTTTTCTGTTTGCTTTTTGTTTTTTGTTTTTTGTTTTTAGTACTTTTACTACAAATTTAACAAACATACGCACACACATAGTCATATATACAATCCGCACACACATAAAGTTGAAAGCAATAACAAAAAATCAATATATCAAAACCGTAGATACATCCTTAAGGATGTCAAAAACTTTTACTGCTTTCAACAGAAGTTATTTACCTATTTTGATAATATCCGGCAGCGAATTTATGATTTTCAAGCAAGTTGCAATAATGCAAAGTGACAGCAAAATAGTTAAACTCTTGCCTCGCATTTTGTTTATCTTTATTTTTTTTAATTACAAAATTCCTTTGGGTTTGTGTTCTTTTACAAGTTTTTTTTATACAATCGAAATATAGCGCGGCATCTTTCGTCTCCTCGCACGTTTGAACGCCAGCAAAGTTACAGTTGTACTAAAAGAATTTTTGCTCGAGCTCCGTTAATGACTTATGCTGTTATCAGCCAGCATCTGGCTGTGGTTTTGACAACTGCAGCAACTGCGCAGTGGATGCTGGCAATAAAAGCTAAATTTAATAAAAGCTTCAAAAGAAAAGCTTTTGTTTGGTCGTTAATGTAGACCGTATTAATATTACGGTCTTTGCCTATAACAAAAGGCACTGCTTTATCTACAAAATGAAAAGTTTTAAAAAGCTTTATTGCTTTTGGATTTTTAATCAGTTGAAGCTGAAGTAAACATTATAATAATGTAAAAACAGTGGCGGCATAAGGTGCAGACTGCCCTAGGCATAATAATGAAAGAAAGCGAACGAGTCTTTAATTAGCTTTGTATTTACTAGTCAGATGGTTTCATTAGAGTGTCGAAATTGTCCGTAGTATAAAGTATTATAATTCATAGATTTAGGCCGTGTGCAAGTTCGAGTAAATTGATGGTAAATTGAGGGAAATAGTAAATTATATCGGTATAGCGAAGGTTGGTATTTACCAGAATTTCGAGTAGAGTAAATTTGATAAAAGCTAGCTATATTAGGTTTTAAATAAATAAATAAATAGATAAATAAATTTGAAAACTCCTAACCAAAAATAATAAATAAGTCCAATAAATAAATAAAAAATATTTACATAAGTGCAGTGCAAAATTTCAATTTACTTTACCTCAATTTACTCGAACTCGCACACGGTCTTAAAACTAATTTGCTCATTACAATGAAATTTTTACATTAGCCTTATTTTTTTCTTTCAGAGTAGCAAAAAAATACTCGCAACTGACTAAAGAAAACGTGTGAAGCAACAACAATCTTAGAAAACTCGAAATGATAAGATAGACAAATTATTTATGTCGGAAAGATTCGATAATTATCTTTATATGTTTGTATTATATTATTTTAACTATAGTTATGCAGATTATTTTTGAATACAATTATAATCATAATCAATAGGTTCTTTAAATTATTTAAAATTTTTTCAAAGTGATATTGGAAATCATATATACAAACCATGTACATTAACTCTCAAAATTGGACACCGGGGTCAATAATTTTGTTCTGTTAAAAGAGCATGTTTTGTACAAGTAAATAAAAACTTGGGACTACCAATATAGCACGGTTATGAGAAATGATCGTTTAACAAAATTTTCACTCTATATTCCTTATCAGCTTGTGAAGACGAATCGATTGAGCGATATTTACTACCTAACTCATTCTGTTTTTAATGTAATCAAAATGTAATTAGAATTAGCAGAAGAATAATCAGAAAAATACAACATGACAAAGTTATCTAATCTTTGATGTAATCTGTCTGATCCGATATCCCAATAAAATTCATTGCAATGATCATTCTCTATATGGTGCTTTATTTATATATGTGTAGACCATAATTTACACCGATAAAATTAAAGATCACTATTATTAGCAGATATTATTATCTTACACATAAAAGTCCATTTTAAAAAATATTTTCTATCAATATTTTCACATCGTTCTATACTAGATAATAGTATTTAATAACTTAAATTATTTAGATTAAGTAAATTAAATGCAAAATTATTAGTAATCTATATATTACTAATAATAATCTATATATATATATATATATATATATATATATATCTATATATAAAATTATATATTTTATTGTTTATAGTAATTGAAAATGGAGTACGAACGTAACATGGATACTGGAAAGCTTTTGCTATTGGTCAAATTTAGGTTGGAGGAGTTGCTTGCGGAAGGCAAGCTTACTCCAGTAAATAGGTAAAAATATATATATTTTTTTTTATATAAATATTTAGTCACCAAATTATCTAATATCTAATTATAGCGATGACTCTGATTCTGCAGCACAATCTTTTGTAATGATCAAAAATCAAAAACGAATGCTAAAGAAAATTTATGAGAACGAAACTAAAGAGGCGGCAAAAATATCTGAGCTAAACAAAGCACATATAATAGAAAAGGACGTTAGTGTCGTCAACGAAATCTCTGCTGAAGAAGTTCCAGAGGAACCTTTTGTTTTTGTAGAACCAAATTATTGTCCAGGACAATATTCAGATGTTGAAGAAATGATTGTTAATGAAGAAGAAAATGATGCAATAATCCTAGATGAGGTACCCTTTGAGATGATTGATGCAGAGGAGTTTGCAAATATAGTTAATATACGTTAAAGCTAAAACGCAAACGATAATGAACTTAAAGTTAACATTTTATAAATTTTATATATACGCATACTTAACCATTTATTTTATCATCACATTTTAAACTTATTTTTAAAATGAAATTTTAAACTTTTAAATATATTTTTCATAACAAATAATATATATATCGAGCTAAATGCAAATATTTTTGTATAATGTAACATCTCAAGTATTAAATAAACAAAGTTTTTAATTTGATCTGCACTCGTTGAATGTAAGTGTTGTGTTTTATTATTAAAGTTTACAAGTCTTAGAATAAAATTAATCCAGTTCGGTTATTAGCTTTATAAAATAAATTCAAAAATGTTAATATTTAAGCGTTAAGTATTCGAAAGTTTTACTTATTATTAATTATACTAGCTATAATGATCAACTGTCTTACGACTTGCCTACAACATTTTGCCTAGTCTCGAAATTAATGTACTCCTCTCCAGGCAACTCTGCTCTGCGCACGCTTCTTCACTCTCGTATATCAAAGGCGATTAAGGTTGATTATTCCACCGGTGGCACAATCTACCTTTACGCTTTTTACCGCCAATTGCCGCTTCAAGTACCGTTTTCGGTAGAGCGTCGGTTCCCGTTACTACGAACTGACTTAGCCAGCGAGCTGCTGGATATCAATTCTGAATTGCATAAATGTGATAAATCTCGTATATCATCTAGTATATATCATAGACGCCTAAACATTTTGTTATCATTCAATCCAATCCAATAATTATTATTATTATCATTTTCATCGTCTCTAATATTGTCTAAGGTTTATAAAAAGTATTCAATAGTTTAGGTGAACGAAGTTACATATTTCAATTCTTAATACATATATAAAATAAAGAGGTTCAATCCATTCTCAGTAAATTCATTAAAAAACGAAGGCGAAAAGAGTTTGCTTTTTTTTTGGTATATAGCTACCACAGAAATCTTTTCGATTATAGGGTTTGTCGAAATTTTTACTTATTAAATCACTAAGAGCAATTTATTTACTGATTTCTTTTGTTTTATTGCAGTTTTTTTAAAGTAAAAAAAAAATTTCAAATTGTGGTATCTAAAATTCATGAGCTTAGACGTTCCTTACTCGGTAATATTCCTCTAATGCAGAATTTTCCCTCTGCTTCAGTTTTCGCCCTGTAGCTCAGATTAAAACCAAGAACTACAATAAATGTGATCAGACGTCTCATTTTTTCCAAGGTAGAAATAAATTTTTAGTTCAGTTAGATCTAGTAGTTGGTGACTTAAAATGCTGAACCAAAGTAGCATCTTTTGGTTTTTAACCATTTATTGATCAGGAATTTGTTGTTGATGGTTTAATTGTAGATTAATTCTATCCACAATACAGAAATGGGTGTAGCCAATTCATAAACAAATCTTTAAAAGCAAGTATGGGTTGAGTGGACCACACTCAACGCAAACCCTTCAGCGAAATCGCACATGCTGAATGGCATCTGTTAAGAAAAAGAAATCGCCGTCGACCAAAGGGTACATGGAGAAGGACAATAAATAGAGAATCGGGCATATCTTTAACTAAGAGCTATAGCGCGTAATAGAAACAGTTTGAAATCTTTTGCGATTAAACTAAATTCTTTAATTTATATTTTTGAACATGACAATAATAATAATAATAATAATACAGAATTGGGTATACAGAATTATATAGTTGACTTGATTCATGCTAGAGTCATCAGATACCCAGTAAATTATAATTCTGGTCCGGTTTATTAGCGGTTGCAGTAAATCGTAACAGTCTAACAGATGTTTCAAGAAAAGAGATAAATAATTTATTAATTTTAATTTCAATTTAATTAAATATAATTTTAACTTTTTAACTCATTTATTATTGACATTCAGGTATTTTTACAAATTTCATGAAAAGAAATTCTGTACTTAAATAAATAATAAAATAATGTCTTCATAAAAAGAGTATGTGGAAAGGTGAAAAAAAATTAATTTCTCTGAAGACTTTTGTGAGATCTTTTATTTTTAATTTTATTTGAATTAAACCACAAATTGAATCAAAGACGTTGAAATTGAAATGTCTTGAGCAACTTTTTGATTTCCACGCTTGTATGTATTTAAATTAAATTTTCTTTTGTTTGTAGCCGCGGGTCTTTTGTGTTAAGAAGCAGTTCCGTCAATCCCAAGTAGCACAAAGGAAATGAAACCACAAAACCGTATAAACAGAAAGTTTGTACGATATTAAGATTCGTGGAATTCACTGGGAGATGGGAGACTGGGAGATATGTAGACATGCAGACACACTGACACTAAGACACTAAGACAGTAAGACAGAAGTTAGTAAGATACATTAAGCAAAATACTTGGTTACAAATAAATTAGCAAACACGTTGTAATAAGCGTCTGTAACGAGTATAATAAATATGTGCGTTCACAGTTAATTGTGTAAATACACTTTTCAGTTTTACATAGTTCAGTTCAGTTCAGTTTAGTTCAGTTCACTTCGAAACTTCTATCCAAAGCAATAAGAGTACATATGTAAATGCATACTTAACTACAATTAAATATGTATAGATACCAGCATTTATTTTTGTATGTTTCGTTTTATATGTAGGCTAAAATGGATGAGTGTAAGATTGTGTACATTGGCCGGAAGCTCCTGCAACTTTTATTTGACTTTAACTTCGTCTCATTAATTTTAACAAATACAAGAGTGAAATAGTTCGTAAAAGACAAAAGCCCTCTGAAACCCTAACCCCCATACATGATTTTTCATATGTAGAGTGAAATCCACTTGCACGCCCACACCTATTCAGATACCTGCTTAGCGAACATGGTAGGCACGGCACATTCATTTCGCATACGCATAGAAAACGTAAATCAGACGTAATTGTTCGGGACCTGAACATTTATGACCCGCTCCATTTGATATAAATGACAGCAGCCTGTTTGCTTTGCTTCGGAGGTTTCAGTCGGAATTGTGTGTGGTAATTATTTTAAATTTAAATAGCTTTGGGTGCTGTGGGATATGGCAAATTGGAAGTGGTAACAGCTAAAAAATATGCTACACATTATTAGCACCTGTGTGCAAATATTTGTTTCCCTCCAAGTTGAGAGTGCAAGATTTCCTTCCAATGCGTAGCATCTTAAGTAGAAATTAGGTTTTCTTTTTGGTAGCTTAGAGGCTAGGACGTTTAGGCTTAGGTTTAGGTTATGTACACATTTGTAATGCAATGTAAATGATGTAAAAGATTAACTTAATGACTTTTTGTTGCCATCCGAAAGTATAAATAATTTTTTTTTATCAGAGTTCGGATCCTTTTTGAATACGTAGATAAAAATATTATTTTATAATTACTTTAAGGAATATACGTAAGAAAAAATTCTGGTTACATTCTCAATCACAGGTCAATATTTAAAAGATGTACAAGCGATTAGATTAGTTGCCCCTTGTAGAGAATTTTGTAAGAGTTGTCAGGAATACAGTATAATCTTGAATATTAAAGATAATATTGAATATTAAAGTTAATATTGAATATTGAAGATAATATTGAATATTGAAGATAATATTGAATATTAAAGATAATATTGAATATTTATTGCGCCAGCGTCGTATTCTTTCCAGACAACTTTAATTTCTCTTTTCATTTTCTGAGAGAATTTCATTTGATGTATTAAAACTTATGGGAGTTATGGTTAGCCAAAAATGCAATTAGTTAAAAATAATAAAATTTTGCTGTTGCAATTCACTATTGTTCGAAAAGAAAACTCTGTTGAAACAGTAGTTTTTATTAATAAAATAGTTGCTACCGACAAATCATAATTGGCTTTAAAATCAAATTTAATAATAATAAGAATTATCAATGAAATTAAATGATTTAGGAGTTAATGCTCTTCCAACTAGACTAAGGTCAATTGACCTTGAGTTCCTAAAAAAAGTTTAGGGGGCATATGAAGAGCGATGTTTTGAGAGAAACCAAAATAATGATTTTTACAAATAATTGTGAAGTATACTTAAAAAATCCGCTAATAAAGTAGAGTAAAAGAGTAAAAATTTTACTCTGAGATTAATTCGTTTCATTAATTATATTTTTAAGTAATTTTAATGTGGTGTGAAATATTTTCTCCATTGGGAATTTGCTCATAATACCTGTAGACAGTAGCAACTGTAGACCTGTAAAAAGTGATAAAATATCATTGTTGGAAGCTTGAGATCGCCTACAAGAAAGCATTTGGGTTATTATTCCTTGATTACTCATTAGATATTTTAAAGATCGGGGTATGCGGAGGAAGGTTTTAGCACAAAAATTTAATGTTTAATTATGTGAATTTTTGGACGGGTTCGGACACCGTCAAATATCTAACAATAGTGATTTTTGAAACATCAATTGCTTTACTTTTCCGTATATAAATTTTTAGGTAGAAGATCTGACAGGTAAAGAACCTATTAAATTTAAGTTATGGTCTTAGGTGCTGACAAAAAAATTCAATAAAACTAAAGTTAATTTTTTTAGTTTTTACGTAGAAATTTTGGAACTTTTCTATTTTAAGGTAAATTTCTTTTTAAAAAATAAAAAAGTTTTAATATATTTTGAATATATATAAAGTTACCATAAGATATTGGAAAAATCCTTATTATTGCATACTTGTGAAATTATTAGAAATCATACCTTTATGTCATACCTCTATTTTATAGTTATATAGAAAATATATTAAGTAGGGAGGTTTCGAAAAGTATTAAACTAAAACAAAAATTATTTTTATATTATTTTAATTAACTAAATACCCTTGTATTTAATTAATCAAAAATAATTTTTTGAGACTGCAAGTACCAAGGGATGAACTCCGACCCTGCCAAATTTGAAGCTTAGAGTCAGAGTTCATTAGTCAATTGACACAAAGCCGGAGTTTTGTTAATTTGCTGTGAAAGTTTATCAACAAATTTACTTTCCTTGTTATATAAGAAGTATATAATATATTACAAAATATACATGTAATATACATACATTAAAAAAAACCTAAAGAAAACATTTTTAGGTATGTAGAGAATATAGTTAATCTACACGTAAAATTTGTCCGGAATGTGCAATCTGCCCGACTTTTAAA